GGTTATATTAATATGTTTAATTGAAATACATAGAGATACATACATTCCTACAACAATTGCAATAATATAGCTACCTACTTGTGCGAAGCCGGGACGGCTCACTAGTTTAAATAAATTATGTGCTTTAAATACGTTTTAATTACGAGAGTGCTATTATAGCAGGCGTAGCCAACCGGTCGGTCGCTACTAAGTCCAATCGATAGTGACAAGGCAAAAAAATATATTGCTAATATCTTGCTAATCTATCCAAGATACTCAGACGCAATGCTCGCACTAATATAAATAAGTAGTTACTAAGAATAATTTTCAATTTTATTTTTATCTCTGAATCAAATTAAAAATGCTACATAATTGTGTACTGAACTATGTTGTTTCATTTGAGATTTCAAAAAGTATGTAAATGGTTTCATACTTTTTGAAATCTCAAAATACTGTTTACCCTGTGCGTTTCGTCAGTAAACAGTAGATCTTGGGTCTAGTCAAGTCGGCCACCGTTGCTATATAGTATATGACTGTACTATACTATAAAATAAACATAGTGGCTATAAACTGTCAAAAATGAAGGAAGTCAGACTTACTTTCAGTGACTTTATTACTTCCATTTGTCACGCCAATTATTTTACTCAACGTTACAATGTATTAAATGTTACAAAATAACCATTATAACATAATATGACCACGCTCACTTGATAAAGTTAATTGTATGAATAGCTTTTATTGTGTGCTTACAAAACAGCAAAGTAGGGCAGCACAGTATAGTGAATAAATGAAAAACTAAACATATAATTCACATCTTTGTTAACATCGAGTATGAACCTTTATCTGGCCTATTCAAGGGTCACATTTAGAGTTCACTGCGGCTATAAAATACCTAATAGGCAACACCTCAAATCTGACGCCAATTTCGTCAATCACTGCAACTAGCCAACCAAATTGTTTCGCTACCCAAGCTATTTCGGGACCAATTCTAGCCCATTTTCTTCATATCTGAGGGCCTAACATGAAATGTTTTCCGAAATTTCGCCCCCGAACGAAATACAAATATGATAACATCATATTTGTAAATTACATAATACATACAGTTTAAAGACGTTAAAATATCATTCCTTTGGATTTTTATGGTAGGATTTATGACAAACGGAATGTTAAGCTCGATTTCCGTATGAACAAAAACACGAAATTGAGTCCGAAAATTCGGAATTTCCTTTCATGGTAGACCCCCTGATCCTATCTCTTTTCGTTTAACCCCTAAACAGAATATAAATATAATTTGAAATTAAGTTTCGTCGTAATGTAGAGAAAAAGTTTACATTTACCAACAATGTCTTATATGTTCAAGGTGCAAATGCTCTGTTAAGTTCAAGACATTATGGCAGCATGGCACTGAGTCTAATGGTATTAATTACATACATAAATTAAATATAGTACTTTCAATATTAAATTGCGTAGGTAACGTGTAAAATGTATACATATTTTATATGATAATATTTATATAATAGTGCGCCACCTACTCTTTGTCTTTTTCTCAATGTCCTCTAACCAAAGGTTGTCTGGAAGAGATTGCTTAGCGATAAGGCCGCCTTTTGTATCACTTCTCATTAATATTTACTGTATTTGTTATTTCTCTTTTTACTTGGTGCAATAAAGTGTAAATAAATAAATAAATAAATTACTTTCATAAATCTATTTTAGCTATTGAACTGTTGTCTCTTTCTTTTTATTTAAATTTCCAACTTGAAAGAAAGTGACAAAACAGTGATAACACTGTTTTGTTCTATTGTTTAACTATTAAGTTAATATAGTTTTATAGAAGGTTTTAGTTTTTATGAATAGGTTTTTATTTAATGAATGATAATGAAATAGTAACTCCATCTACGCTAACGGTATACGCTGCCAGGGATGAGGGGTGATAGGTGAGAATAAAAAGGCAGGTTAGTTAGCCCATTGTAATGAATATACTTGAAATGAAGCACGACGGTTTCCAAGGGGGACCACGTGGAGGTCGACCTGATAGGGGTCATTGCTAGCAATATTTTCGCCCTTCACGTTTAGGGGATGATTTCTATTAGATAGATATATCTGCATGAAATTAATCTAACATGATAGCATGCCTGAAGGTACGTTAACCATTCGCAAAGTGAACGTAAGTAATTGACATCGTTTGCATTTAAACTTTACACGTAGGTAGATACCAGTCGGTACCGTTAAGTAAGAAACGGTTAAAAGTCAATAAGAAATGCAAATTCCTTTTATACAAGACACACAGCATTTCATAAAACTGTTAAATGTTTGATGACCTCTGTGAAGCCGTAACTGTCTCGATCTTTACATTTTTTACAATAGATATTTCACGGTCCAATTTTTTATCGAACTGCCCGTCCTAATTTCTTAACCTTTCGATATTATCTGATAAACATTCTCGTGCCTGCAGCGCCTCTAGCGGATTTATTCGGCAATGAACGTGTCATGTTTATTTCTAATAACACAATGTTACTAATATAACTTACTAATCTTATAACTAGACGATATTTGTATATAGTTAGACGTTTTTCAAAGCACTTTTTTCCACGCACAACCATTTTTTGGAATCAACTTCCAGCAGCAGTATTTCCGAACCGATACGACAACATAACCTTCAAGAAAAGAGTATATTCCTTTTTAAAAGGCCGGCAGCACACCTACAATGCCGCTGGTGTTGTGGGTGATCATGGGCGGCGATAGTCACTTATCATCAGATGAGCCGCAAGCTCGTTTGCCCGCTGTGTTGTAAAAAAAAATATGGAAGATATTTAAGATAAATTAACAATCGGAAGTCTACATAAGACGAATATATGCCAAAAAAAATAATATTTAAAAATTGTGTCTGTCAATATGTTTGTTCAAGCGTCACGCAAAAATTGTCACACCAAATTGGACAAGGTTTTCACAGTTATATTACGGAAGGTCTAACTTAAAAATTGGCGTGTGTTTTATCTTGATACGTCATTTAAAAATAGTCCATTTCATTGGACTTATTTCTGATATCTATGCGTACAGAGTAGCGTGCGAAAATTTTGAAAAAATATTTAAAAAAAAACAATATAGAATAAGTTTATGATATTTTAAAATACTATCGGATATCAAATTATTAAAAACCAAAATCAATAATATCTCCAAATGAACATGGACACTACCATTTTCCATCAGGTGGACCGTCAGCTTGTTTGCCATTCTAAGTTGTATAAAAAAAAAACATGGACAAAATTGGCACATGAATTGACACTGAATACATTATTTAGAAATGTATCCCAAATACGATACAACCAAAAAGAAAAGATAAATTCTTAATATATCTAAGTAAAAATAATTTGTCCATGTAACGTAGGAAAGGAGACATGTAAATTAAAAAAAAAAAGCTAAAACTATAAATAGCAGTTAGGAGATACCTAATAGTGATTAATCGACTGCAGTGCGGCGCTAAGGGTGAGACATCTGGTATAAAGCCAGGCAATTAAAAGATTTTTTGTAATAATTACCATAGGGAGACTTTGTACAAAAATCGATTGCTTGAGTACCTCTGTCCCATTCGTGTTTCAACCGTGAAGCAGTTGTGCTTGCATGGCTGTGTTTCGGTTTGAAGGGATATGGCATGAATTTACTGGGTACAGAGGAATAACACCTGAGTCCTCAGGAATGGCAACGCATGGGGGTTATCATGGGCGAAACAGTATACTCTGTTATGTCCATGGTACTGCTTATGTCTATAAGTGAGAGGTAGTTATAATTTATATAAAAAGGTGGCTAGGATATATGACATAATCAGCGTCCGATAAAAATAGGAACAAACCGGGAATATGGTCAGAACAACAAAAATTTAGGGCGGCTATTTGACAGCGACTTACTGTTATAAAGGGAGGCAATTATTTTTGCCTTATGCGGCTAAATTATTCGATAGGTCACTGATGGTGTTAAATCTGAACCATCCTTATTTCTAGCATGCCCACTCCACCATACTGTTTCTGAAATTATCTTCCATGTTTTCGTTATCATTATAGGATTTATTACCTATGGATTATTAAGGTATTGTTACCTACATAACAATACCTTGACAATCCATTAACTACCATGGTTAAGCAGTTTCTAACACAGATTTTCTTTAGATGTAAAATATGTAATAGTTTAACGTACTAACTCACCTTACGATGATTGCGGATTCAATTCCCGCAGTATACAAACATTTGTATATATTATACACTTGAATATTTAGAAAAAAAAAAATTAATATACTATAGAATTAAGATTACGTCTTACGGATTATGTGATAGATAATCCATGTTATTCCGAATAGATTCAAGTGATTGACAAATCAATAAACACCTTTTACTAATACCTATGTATATATGGGGGAAACGGATTGTTAGCAATGGAGTTTGACAGCCCCATTGCTAGCAATATGCCTTATTAGGTCGACCTTCACGTGGTTCCCCCTGGAAACCATCGTGAACAATTCTTTTTGAATTCGTCACTATGGGCTAACTGACCTACTTCATCCTCACCTATCATCCTTCACCGGTGCCCCGCCGGTATATACCGACAGCGCGGGTGGGGTTACCATTCCATTATCATCCATTAAAAAAAACCTATGTACCTATATTACTACATACTAGCTATTTATACCTACAAATACTCCCTACCTAATATTTTTATGACAGATGAGTGCCTAGCACAATAGTATTGATTATCAACTTTGTACAAACTATTGCCCATTGTAAATCAAAACAATGATCATGAATCGTAAACCGAATGCATCATAAAATAACATTTGGATTTTTGTAACTATTACGATACGGCACGTAGGTAGAAGCGAGTACATAATGTCACTATTAGAATACAATATCTCACAAGCGTGTTTCGAATTATCATCACAGAATAACTGTTAAACGACTAACATTATTTAAAAGAAAAATTGCATTGAGATTGAACAAGTAAATGGCCAATTTATTTTCACAATAGTTACTTACGTCATAACTCCAGGTGCAGGAAACACCGGCGAATTTGGCAACACAGCGACCCAACTCGACGTCCTCGTGAGTCGTGTACAGATGCTTCAGACAGTACTTCACGTGGGGTGCCACCCTCCGCAGAGTCTCCCTGGAGAACAGCACTCCGGGACCGCCCATGCAGAAGTTCTCATTATAATCTAAAGCTAGAGCGTCCCGCTCGGCGTTCGTACCTCTGCCAGCTTGCCCTATGAACTGTGGCTTCCGACTGTCCACAGAACGCAAAAACTCCCCTAACTTATCACCCCTAACGTAAACATCGTCGTCGGCACGCATGAACCACTCAAATTTTTCGCCGTATTTCTCATACATGTACAACAACATAAGGAATGACTTCTTCTGCGGCGGGTAGCTATCGTCCACACCCCGCAATGGAACTAAAGGTAAACCCGGAGCCCGTGACACCTCCGAGCTAAAGAACGCGATACGTCCAGGCAAATCTTGACTCCACGTCTCGTAAACTGCTTTGGCTCTCGTATCCAAATACTGTTCGGCCGTCATAACACCGACAAACACTAAAGTCCTGTTAGAATTTTGCACTGTCTCTTCCGGCCCGAGGCCTATCAAGGCGAGTGGATCGGGGGCGACGTACACTTTCGCAGACTGCGGGCAGGCTTCTATCGTAGTCCTAGAGGACGATCGCAAGCACAGCTTAAGGAACATGCCGACTATGACGCCGGCGACGACGCCCGCGGCCAGATGCATCCACTTGCTCCTACGGGGCATCGTGACAACACTGCGGACTCAACGAAGGCAGCCACAGTTACCCGGCGTCCACATGTGCGCATTCCAGGAATATCCTTTTTATCCCTTTTTTGTAGCGGCCGGGAGGGGTAGACATTAGCGGGCGCCTTTTTTGTTCGCTCCTCGCTCCCATCGACGGGAGCGATCACATGGCCGTCGGCAAACTGTCGAGTAACACGCGTAAAAGTGAACCGTATCGCGCTATCACCACTCTGTATATTGGATTTGCAGATGTTATCGACGCAGTGAGCGCGGCCAGGCGCGATACGTATCGAAATGCGAGTTCATATTACGAACACCGCGCGGATAGAGCCGAACGCACAAACAGTTCGACTCGTGCGCCGGCCGTGGACATACTGGCGTGGCGGAACACGGTCCCACGGCCGCCTCAAAACAAAACTCAAGCAGCGGTACAATAATTTCTAGTGTCCGCAACACCGTTCTTGCTCGTTTCTCTTTCGTGCCCGCCCGCTTGTATATGTCTGTCTTCGTCGCATCACGAATGTGGGCCGGATCGAATGAACTTGCCCCATTCATCGCGACCGTCTGGCCAGCAGTCGGCGATGACAATAGACAATGCCGGTGGTCACCCATTGTCTGCCGGGTCAGCGGCTCGCGGAAATACAATTTTATGACCCATTTTGCAATAGGTTAGTTCTGGAACTACGCGATTTACGTCTCGAAGCAGAGTTCCTTTGCCTGTCGCTGCAAACTTGCCAGACGGGTTACCTATCTCTGCTATTTATATATTTATTTAGCTACGTCACATATCGTGCATTACGTAGCCTTGCCCACGAAATATTTTTATTTTTCCTTAAATAAAAACCCTTACCATGGGAAATTCGGGAAATATTACGCTATACAAAAAAACCTGTGCCGAAAAGTTCTGCGGTCCCGAAAGACCAAATTTCATTAAAATATATACAAATAGACGTCCAAGTGATTGAGTATTTTTGAAGTCATTTAAAACTGCTCAATAGTATTTCGTGTAGCCTTCACACCAACACAATAATTTGTATGCAGCTGTTGCAATTTGTTGTTCCGCCTCACATAAATTAATTATTATGATTCATGTTTATAATGCAAGTGGCTCAGGACCATTCCTTATGGTAGTCTATGGGGAAGGTCTATGTCGAGCAGTGGATGAATAATGACTGAAATGATCATGATGGTATTTATAATGCTCACAACTGCAACATAGACTTAACCCTTCTTTGCATAGTGGTGGAAATTTCCATCATAACATTGAATGCCCAAAAATTATATAAAAGAACAAGTTCACTTTAAGTTTATCGTGTCTGGATATCTTTTTTAATGTCCATTGCAGAGAAGAAAACATAGCTGTCAAATTTATTTTTTTAACCACTTTTCCTTTAATTTTGAACTTGGATTATATCACCTTGATTTATTTCACGAATAAAAAATCATGCAAAGAAGAATTAAGATGATTATTAATTATAATAATATGTGCCACAGAAACACACTAATAGTATTATTCTCAAGCTAAACTTACCGTGAATTTACAGGGTACAGAGGAATAACATCTGAGTCCTCAGGAATGGCAACGCATGGGGGGTATCGTGGGCGAAACAGTATACTCTGTTATGTCCATGGTACTGCTCATGTCTATAGGCGACGGTTACCACTTTCCATCAGGTGGGCCGTCAGCTTGTTTGCCATTCTAAGTTGTATAAAAAAAATTTAAAAAAAAAAAACCCTGTAATATTATTATTATTTTTATATTTAGAATATTTTGCATTTTGTTTGATTCCTTTTATGTATTTACTTTGTCTGACTTGCGCCATCTACCTTTCTCTCTGTACTTATACATTCTTTATGCCAGGTTGTCTGTAAGAGATTTTTAGCAGTAAGGCCGCCTTTTGTATATGCACATTCTGTATAAACACTCCTTGTATACATCTCTACTGTGCGCAATAAAGAGTTTATTATTATTATTATTATTATTACTATGCGGAACCAGACAACTGACATCTGGCGGCACAACTTAAAACACCCAGACTAGAGACAGTTTAGAAAAGTTCATTACAAAAATCGATCGAGAATCGAACCTAAAAAGAAATGAAATTATATTTATTTACAATGAATATGGTACGTAAAGACATGGGATTAATGATCATAAGTAGCTTTCATAAACAGCCATGCAATATTTTTATACATAATTCATAATAATCATGAGAAAATTTTCATTACATAAATACTATCAAGAAAGCCAAATATTATTCTTTTATAAGCCGGTTAGTCCCTGTATAATATAGGCCACCCTTTCCTTTCCTGTGAGTGTCGTAAAAGGCGACTAGGGGAGGGCGAAGTATGGACAGCAGCGTCCCTCTTAAAACATCTCTAAAGTCTAACTGCGGTTGCCAATCTGCCTGGCAAACGTGGCAACTACTGGCAAAACCCCCCAAGGGGGAGACTTATGTTCAGCAGTGGACAATTAAAGGTTGTTATGATGATAATGATTCTTTTAAAAATTCCTTCATTATTTAACATATTATTTGTCATTTATTTATCAGTCAATAATTCATTACATTTCTAAAGTTTAACTCATTGCAATAGGTAATTTGCAATTAATAATAAATTAGTAATTGAATAATTTCATTACATTAAATCATCCATTTTACATTAAAATTACCTTAATGGAATAAAAATATTTATTACTTAGCTATTTGAATAATTTGTTTTTAAAATGTTTTAAACAAAATAGTTAAAAAATAAACCTGGTACTATGACGCGAAACAACACTCCCATTGCTGCATTACAGAGGTTGAATTTTATGCCAATAAATATTATATGGTTCCTCACTATTCTGGTGCTAATTTTCGGGGTGAGGGGGGAAGGAGGAATTGTTAATAATGGGGATTAGCAGTACCTTTATTACAATACACCCCGTCAAGTCCTCGACCTCCTTGCGTTTCCCGAAAACCATCGTGTTCAATTCTAAGTGAATTAATCACGATTCGCTAACTGACCTGCCTTTTCATCCTTACCTATCGTCCCTCACTAGTACCCTGCCAGGGGGGAAAGGAATTGTTAGTGATGGAGACTGAGAATCCCATTGCTAGCAATATACCCAACCAGGTCGACCTCCTTGCAGTTTCCCCTGGAAACTACATGGTTAATTCCTGATGAATTCGTCATGATGGGCTAACTGGCCTGTTTTCATTCTCATCTATCACGCTTCACTGGTGCTCCGCTAGCGTATTCCGTTAGCGCAGGCGGGGTTACCATTCCATTTTCACCCATCAAAAAAAAAGTACCCTGTCAGCGTCCACTGTTAGCCCAAGCGAGTTTACCATTCCATTATTATCAATTAAAAAAAAAAAACATGAATTTACATGGGAATTTTGAACCATAAACAATTCTATAAAAAAAACTGCCGCCGCCAACGCTTATTTGTTTTACGGCCATACAACCATATGTCGTGTATGCAAAAGACGTCACACCCGTTGTCAACATATAGTTTTAGTAATAAAACAACAACGCTATCCACCCATTCTATACAAAAACCGTCTTTACCATAACTAGTTAAAGTCCCATTTTGAGTGTAAGATGCCTCCAAGTAGTTTTGTATCAGGTCAATGTCAAGAGTCAAGGTTAAAAGCTTTACAAACCTATGTATTTTTTTTTGATGGGTGAAAATTGTATGGTAACCCGGCCTGCGCTAACGTGATACGCTGGCGGAACACTAGTGAAGGGTGATAGATGAGAATGAAAACAGGCCAGTTAGCCCATCATGATGAATTCATCAGGAATTAACCATGATAGTTTCCAGGGGGAACCGCGAGGAGGTCGACCTGGTTGGGTATATTGCTAGCAATGGGATTCTCAGTCTCTATTACTAACAATCCCTTTCCCCCCCCCCAAACCTATGTATTATAAATATTTACACATTTCTTTTATGCAACAGTGTTCTGTGTCGCCCATGATACTCGTCATGAGTTGCCATTCCTAAGGACTTAGGTGTTATTTCTCTGTATCTCCGTATTTTTTTTTAAATGGGTGATAATGAAATAGTAACCCCACCTGCGCTAACAGTATACGCTGGCGGGATACCAGTGGGAGATGATGGATGAGGATGAAAGCAGGTCAGTCAGCCCATCGTGAAGAATTCCTCGAGAAGTAACCACGATGGTTTCCAGGGAGAACCGCGTGGAGGTCGACCTAATTAGTAAAATTGCTAGCAATGGGGCTGTTAGACCCCATCGCTAACAATCCTTTTTCCCTCTTGTATCTCTGTATTGTGTATACAATACAATATACGGGACATGTACAAAAATAAACAGTTTTTATTATTTAAAACACTTCTAAACAAATTATTGATTACTAGCGACCCGCCCCGGCTTCGCATGGGTGCAATGTTGATACTAAATATACCTACCTACTACAGACAGCTACTATCCTCCCTGCATTTTAAATCTGTAATATCTTCAGAAATATTCATTTAAATTACATGCTGTACAGGGCCATATTGATCTATATTAAATGGATAATGTATTTAAGGTACTTATTTGGATAAAAAATAATGCTGTATTACTTAAAATCACTTCGTAAATAAACTATTTTTACCGTAAAATGTAAAGTATAAAAAAATGGTTATTGTGGGTTATCCTTAAGAGATAGACATATACCATCGCGGACTTTTTTGTTGACATTTTTAAGGTGTACAATACTGTTGTACATTATTTTGATTTATCTCGTGGTGTTCAGCCAGCGTTGCCAATGTAAGCGCAAAAAATGTGTTTATATACGACATAACATTAGAAAACTCTAAATATATCAGTGTTTCTCTACAATATTATGCATGTACCTATTTTACATATAAACCATCCTCTTGAATCACTCTATCTATTAAAAAACCCCGCTTCAAAATCCGTTGCGTAGTTTTAAAGATTTAAGCATACATAGGGACGGACAGACAGCGACAGCGACTTTGTTTTATACTATGTAGTGATTATTATCTCTTTCATTTAAAACTAACCTACAATCGTTCATACATAAATTCATATAATTTCAAAAAGCGGTTCCTAAAATTGGTCATTATTTATTTCATTATTTATTCTTTATTTCATTTTTTCATTACACGAAATTTTATTATAATTCATTAAAAGTCATTTAAATTAAAAGTTCTCAGTTCAATCAATCAAAAGTTAAAAAGTTTTTAATTCATTAAAAGTTAATTCATTTACAATTTTGTTCCATAAATAAGTAGGTACCTATGGGACAAATATTGTACATGTATATGTATATATACACATTAAAAAAGTCTAAGCAACACATACTATTTCAAATTATTAATCAATTATTATATCATTTCTTACCAAGTAGGTAATACCTATGTAAACTTTTTGATCTAGACGACATACTGGCTGGTTGTAAAAAAAATCGAGTATCATTTGTTTTTTTTTTTTTCACAAATTTAAAAGCGAATGCATTTGTTCGAATCCTATAGTATTTTCTTTGCTTATTAAAATTTAGTATTCTGTATCAATTTTATGATTTAAACAATAATTAGAAAAAAGTTTTGACCAATTTTGGATTTTGAGACATTTTTTACGTCATGGAGCAACATTTGAACGTAAATGAAATGCAAAGAGCTATTGCAAGCGGGAAGAAGTCATCTCAGGTATCTCGGTATTTTGGTGTCAACAGAAGCGTTATTTGCCGTCTTCATCAGCATTACACACGGGAGATCCTGCTAAGCTGCACCCAGGCCGAGGAAGGTTTACAACCACACGGCAAAATCGATACATACAATAGACTGCAAGATGCCAGTCGATGTTAACCGCCCAACCGAGGTTTGAGACTACAAAATTCAAGTGGTGTTGTTGTTAGCTGCCAAACTATGCGAAATCGACGGCAAGAGCACGGTTTACCAGCACGACCGCCAATTAGGTGCCCACCGATACGTCACGGGAATCGCGCTCATCGAAATGAATGGTGTAGAGAACACATTAGGTACATGAACCCTGGAACAATGGGATAAAATTTTATTTTGCGATGAGTCTCGATTTATGTTCAAGCCTGATACGACGGGTAAGACTACACCGTCGTCCTGGAAATATTGAAAGACTGAGGTGCGGTCAGGAAGTGCATCCATACAACGGCTCTAACAAAACAGTTATAGTATGAGCGGGTATTATGAAGAACAGACGAACTGAGCTCGTTCTTGTAAATGGCAACATAAACGCTGTAAATTACGTTGAGCATGTTCAAAGGCCTTATGTCCGTCCATTCGCACAAACGCTTGGCTCCGATTTCACGTTAATGCATGACAATGCACGTTCGCATACAGCATCCTGTATCTGAGTGTCCAGTGTCGGAGTGTCCAGTGTCGGAGTGTCCAGTGTCGGAGTGTCCAGTGTCTGAGTGTCCAGTGTCTGAGTGTCCAATGTCTGAGTGTCCAGTGTCTGAGTGTCCAGTGTCGGAGTGTCCAGTGTCTGAGTGTCCAGTGTCTGAGTGTCCAGTGTCGGAGTGTCCAATGTCGGAGTATCCAGTGTCGGAGTGTCAAGTGTCGGAGTGTCCAGTGTCTGAGTGTCCAGTGTCGGAGTGTCCAGTGTCTGAGTGTCCAGTGTCGGAGTGTCCAGTGTCGGAGTATCCAGTGTCGGAGTGTCCAGTGTCTGAGTGTCTAGTGTCTAGTGTCTAGTCTCTTGTCTCTAGTGTCTAGTGTCTTGTGTCCAAGTGTCTAGTGTCCAGTGTCGGAGTGTCCAGTGTCGGACTGTCCAGTGTCTGAGTGTCCAGTGTCGGAGTGTCCAGTATCTGAGTGTCCAGTGTCGGAGTGTCCAGTGTCGGAGTGTCCAGTGTCGGAGTGTCCAGTGTCGGAGTGTCCAGTGTCGGAGTGTCCAGTGTCGGAGTGTCCAGTGTCGGAGTGTCCAGTGTCGGAGTGTCCAGTGTCTGAGTGTCCAGTGTCGGAGTGTCCAGTGTCGGAGTGTCCAGTGTCGGAGTGTCCAGTGTCGGAGTGTCCAGTGTCTGAGTGTCTAGTGTCTAGTCTCTAGTGTCTAGTGTCTTGTGTCCAAGTGTCTAGTGTCCAGTGTCGGAGTGTCCAGTGTCGGACTGTCCAGTGTCTGAGTGTCCAGTGTCGGAGTGTCCAGTATCTGAGTGTCCAGTGTCGGAGTGTCCAGTGTCGGAGTGTCCAATGTCGGAGTGTCCAGTGTCTGAGTGTCCAGTGTCGGAGTGTCCAGTGTCTGAGTATCCAGTGTCGGAGTGTCCAGTGTCGGAGTGTCCAGTTACGGAGTGTCCAGTGTCGGAGTGTCCAGTGTCGGAGAGTCCAGTGTCGGAGTGTCCAGTGTCGGAGTGTCCAGTGTCTGAGTGTCCAGTGTCTGAGTGTCCAGTGTCGGAGTGTCCAGTGTCTGAGTGTCCAGTGTCGGAGTGTCCAGTGTCTGAGTGTCCAGTGTCGGAGTGTCCAGTGTCGGAGTGTCCAGTTTCTGAGTGTCCAGTATTGGAGTGTCCAGTGTCGGAGTGTCCAGTGTCTGAGTGTCTAGTGTCTAGTCTCTAGTGTCTAGTGTCTAGTGTCCAGTGTCGGAGTGTCCAGTGTCGGACTGTCCAATGTCTGAATGTCCAGTGTCGGAGTGTCCAGTGTCGGACTGTCCAATGTCTGAATGTCCAGTGTCGGAGTGTCCAGTGTCGGAGTGTCCAGTGTCTGAGTGTCCAGTGTCGGAGTGTCCAATGTCGGAGTATCCAGTGTCGGAGTGTCAAGTGTCGGAGTGTCCAGTGTCTGAGTGTCCAGTGTCGGAGTGTCCAGTGTCGCAGTGTCCAGTGTCGAAGACACTAGACACTTATACACACACACTACATACATACGTGGACACTAGGCACTATGACTCGAGACACTCAGACTCTAGACACTTATACACACACATTACATACATACGTGGACACTAGGCACTAAGACTCGAGACACTCAGACACTGGACACTCAGACTCGAGACATTCAGACACTAGACACTCAGACATTAGACACTCAGACACTGGACGCTAAACGCGGACACACAAAGACAGGACACTCAGACATTGTATACACAGATAGTGTCTCGAGTCTGAGTGGCTGTGTGATGGGAAATGGCAGTGAATTTACAGGGTACAGAGGAATAACACCTGAGTGAATGGCAACGCATGGGGGGTATCATGGGCGTAACTGTATACTCTGTTATGTCCATAGATACTGCTCATGTCTATATGCGACGCTTACCATTTTCCATCAGGATGGCCGTCAGCTTGTTTGCCATTCTAAGTTGCATAAAAGAATAAAAGAGACGAAAATTAAAAAACAAAAATGGAAAATATTCATATATTTATAATACATTATTTTCATTTGTGTAAAGGCGAGACGTAAACCCGCGCAGCACTACTCTCAGCTCAAGCATTCACTTATTACATGTGCAAATTCACTTATAATTTTATTCTTAACTTCATTAAAATTAAAATAAGTAAATAAATAAAATTACAACATATATATATATATATATATATATATATATATATATATATATATATATATATATATATATATATATAAACTATTTAATGGAATTTAATCACTTCTTATAATTTTATATACCAAATATTTCGCCACCTGTTGGATTTTGGAATCCATTTCTTACGTACACAATTACTACCAGCAATGATTTCATTTGAAACACAGTTTTTAATCACAAAAACGCATCAGATGTGACCTTAGATTGTATAGATAGAGCGTCTCCATACAAATGCTTCGAGAAAAGCGGCTCAACTTTTTCATACAATGTTGCGTGATAATTATGAGTGATTCCTTTAATACTAATATAATTATTTTGTTTTATATTTTTTGTATCTTTTTAATAATTAAAAACTTATTTTATTTATTAAATAATTAAATATAGATACGTAAAGATATATCGTGTGTGTGACTATATAGAACATCAATAAAAAAAACGAGTCCTTTAATTTGACAGTTTTTTTTTTTTCAATGGGTGTAAATGGTATGGTAACCCCACCTGCGCTAACGGGATACGCTGGCGGAGCACCAGTGAAGGGTGATAGATGAGAATGAAAACAAGCCAGTTAGCCCATCATGATGAATTCATCAGGAATTAATCATGATAGTATCCAGGAGGAACCGCAAGGAGGTTGACCTGGTTAGATATATTGGGATTGGGATTGGGAATACAATGGGATTCTCAGTCTCTATTACTAACAATCCCTTTCCCCCCTTAATTTGACAGTTAGCTGTCAAAAAGTTGAACGGTTTTTGAGGCTCGATTCTCTAACAATCCCTTTCCCCCCTATCACGTACGAGTATGTATGCAAGTATGAAAGTTTCTTTATTATGTTCCTTGTGTACCTTCGACCTATTCAATTACACTAATAATCCATTCATCCGAACAATCCGCCTGATGGTTAGCCTATGAATATTCGCAACATCCTGACGTGTTTTTCAATCACAGTAACAGTTCTGCACCCCTACCGCCATCTATCGGATCTATATTTCCATATCAGAGTAAAACCTATCTCTTTCTATTAAAATCGATCAAACAATATCAAAAAGTAGCGTGCACTAATATCGTGACATGGGATTTTCAATCGATTTCTATATAAAATATATAACCAATAGATGCAAAAAACAAAATTTTAGAAATTTTTACTTTTTTTTATACTACTTAGAATGGCAAACAAGCTGAGGGCCCACCTGATGGAAAGTGGTAACCGTCGCCTATAGACATGAGTAGTACCATGGACATAACAGAGTATACTGTTTCGCCCATGATACCCCCCATGCGTTGCCATTCCTGAGGACTCAGGTGTTATCCGTCTGTACCTTGTAAATTCACGAATTGAAATCGATGTTGTTTCTTGGAGCAAAATCCTATTTTATACAACATAAAATGGCAAACAAGCTGACGGCCCACCTGATGGAAAGTGGTAACTGTCGCCTATAGACTATGTCTAAAATTCATTACGGCATCGCGCAAAAGCTACTGTATCAAATTCGATGCGGTTCACAGTTTTCCTGAAAGCTTGAAATAAAATTTAGTGTACGTTTTATCTTGATAAACCATCTAAAAGTGTTTTATTTAATTTCTTTTCCAACTTCGATAATCGTCGCGTACGAAGTAGCGGGCAAAATGGTAATATTAATAATCTTCATAATTAATAACTCAACTCTGAGTAACCAGTAAGAAAGGAAATTTCCAGCAAATGTTTATCAATTCTGCAAGCATATTACACTTGCGTTGACCGATATGTATGTACAGCATGAGGTTCATCAAAAAAGGAGTAAAGATGTCTCTTCAGGGTCAGTAACGCGCACGTTAAACCCCTGGTATTGCAAACGTTTACAAGCGGTAACCGCTTACCATTAGATGGACCGTATACTTGTTTGCCATCTTAGTATAAAATAAAAGTATTTTAAATTTACATCAAGAAATACACATTTTGCAATACGACGACTGGTATTTTTACTTTGTACGCAATACGAATTTTTTTTTTTGCAGTTATAGCATGACGTAGTAAATGTGCACGAACAAATTCCTAGGTGGCATCACATACATGGTCTCTCATTACATAGGTGCTAAGTAAATGTGAACACATATTCATGGTAAGTGCATCGAAAAATCACAAAACATTTTAAATGCAATTATTTGTAATATGAAAAAATAATACAACTTTTTATGTCCTTAGTCCTTATAACATATGAGGGAGTCGAAAAAAATCAACACCTCTTAGCTGCCAGCGACCTCTATTTACTCACATACAAAATTTCCATTATAATATTTCAAAGAACACACACACACAGTCATACCCAACCAATGGGCATCGTAGACGGTCAAGAAGCTTTGATCAAGTATGCATCTATTACCACTTGTAGGAGACATATAGAGTTCTACCTTCTTTATGTTACAAGCTGCAATAGATGAGTACTGTCTGTTTTCAAATTCAATAACATAAAAAAAAAACTTGTACCAATAACATGCAGCTGATGCGGAAATCACGACTGAGACAAAATTAAAAGCCGTCTATACCCTTTCAACGACTTCCCAAACGGAGAGAAAAGCAGATTTTGATCGCATTTAAAACAGTATTTAATAGAGATCATTGTCTTCTCTCAAGCATTATAGTGTAGGCAACAGAAGAAGTGAAATGTAAAATAAACCTTATTTCGATCATTATAAAGATCTATTTTATATGCGAACAAAATCTAAGTACTCTCTCCAAGCCGGTGTGAACGGACACTGTTTTCTTGTCAAAATGGCAGATAAGAAGTAGTGTATTTTTTTTTTTTAATAACATTAAATTATTCCCACCACAACATTAAATTCATTTATATAATATATTCTAATTTATATTTATAGCAATATCTAAATTTACAACAATCAATGTTGTGAGAGAAATAATTAATTTAAAATTATAAACATTTATTTATTTATTTATTTATATTTATCACTTTTCACTAAGAAGCCACACACGATTCCCTTTTATTTCCTGCGTTAGTATTTTGTATTTACCTATGAAATTGACGTTTTCACATACATAATATAGATTTTAAACTATTTTTTTTTTTTTATTGTATACAGAATGATATTTAAACCTGGGGTATAAATTGAAACAGAACTTGTTTCCAAAAAAAAATGAGTTGACAAACAAAAAAAACTGCCTGTCGTACTAAGTGAACAAAAATATATATATAAATATACTCACTCCATTATTAAAGCCTTCCGTCACATAGAGTATGTTACATACCACTACACTAATAAATGGTACTTGGCATAAAATAGAATAACTAATATAAATATAACCAACTGCGAAAGGGAGGTAATGTTTTACGGATTATCTATATACATAAGCTCGGGATTTGAGCATAAAGTGCCTAATTGAAATGCCATTAGATTCATTTTTATTATAACTATGATGTCAATATAGCCATAAAGTACAATACAGTTAGCCATAAACAAAATTGAAAGGGAACATACATTTCTTTCGAAATTTTTTTATTTATTTTTTGAATGTGTCAAAACTTTTTTGTCACATCAATATATAATTATATATGGTACGCTCATATAATGGATATATGTCACATAAGTAGATTCATTGGCAAGATAAAGACCTTTATAGTAATCGACTGCGGCTAATACGACAAAACGACAACTGCATAGGTAAATTATAATAAAATCTTATAGGTGTGGCAAAATATATTTAATCTTCATATAATTATATGTACACTTCATAAAACAACCGCTTATACATCAGCTTCTAAAAAAATTTCAAAATCATTCAACAAACGTGAGTTATATTCATAAAAAGTAGCGTTACATTCTTATGGTATAGGGAATGAAACGGAAAAAACGAAAATTTTATTCTACTGTTAAATTAGTAATTACTGGTAATTTTATACCATAATCAATTTAATTTATTGCCCAAAAAAAGTTCTTGTAATAAAAAAAAAAAAATAAGCGCCATCTTTATTTATTATGTTTATACTCATCAGGTAAATTTAAACTGGATCATACATTTATATTTGTTATTCAATTCCCCTCCTGTCTCCCAACAATATTGCACATGTATTTTTTTATTTTACTTAGAATTAACACCGATAAAAAGTATAGTGGTAACACTGTCGAATGAGAAACTGAAACTTTTGTTAATAAGTGTTGCCATATATTATAAATAAATTGGATAAATTATTATGGAGACGCTTCAGAATATTTAACTGAATCTATTTTTTTATTCAGCTGCTGTATAACAGCCGAAGAGTGACCTGATAGACAGTGGTAACCATCGCCTATCGATATTACATTACGTCAAGGTCGTATGGACGAAATCCTATCAAGGGACAAGTCCGCTTGTGTACCTTCTCATTTTCTTCATTACCTGATATCTGTCTTAATCATGAATGTACAATAAAACTAAATACAAACAAGATATTTCAATAATCCTCACATTTTTCTCAAGATTTTAAATACTAGACAATGTTTGGGCTAAAAATGTACATTTTTAATCTGTAAGATTATCCATAGAGAAAATAAATTCACGTGATAGTATCAAGTGAGTACATTGGTGAATATGAAATGATTTTAAAAGTTTGTTACCAATGACATTGTATAAATAAAAAAAAAGGTAAATAGCGCGCCAAAAATAAAACCTAGATGCTGTTAAAGTATTACAACATATGCATACACAAGTCCACGCAAAGGACAAACTTTAAACAGCTTATTTATTTTTATTGTGTTGACCACTCCATTACTTTTCCATTATTTGATAATATAAAAAAATGGCTATGTGTTATCGCTGTTTAGAATGTTCTTTTTTTTTTTTTAATTACTTTCAGAACATACAAAGTGCTTTTAAAAAATCATTGCTTGTGGCTTCAGAATAAACCTACATACCTATAACGTCATACTGATAATTTTTCATTATCACAGCGCTAGATTCTGTCCTCTAGACGTTTACTTAATACAATTATCGTTAATTCCAGATCGCCCACTCAGACCAATAAATAAAATAGATTTTTTTTTTACATATTTTACGAGTAAGCAAAACTTTCATTTAGACATAAACTCTTTAGGAACAGCAAGCAGTGTTTCTCTATCACCAAAGACCTTGCATCAGTTCGAAAGCAATCAAGCTAATCTTAATCTATTGCTTATAACCTCACGTTCTGGAGGCAACTGCCGGATCCATAAAAGTTTGTAGCTAAAATGTTACGATACCAGCTCGTCTAATGCTTTGTCCCTATTAAATTCGTGTTTCGCCAGGGCCGCCGACACTCTGCCTTCAGAGAAGCCCAAGTCCATCAGCTCGCCAATGATAAGAAGACCCTCGATCACCTGAAAATTATGAAAATGAGTTCTGTTATTACAAAATACAGGCTGTGAAAAAGTGTAGTAGAAAAGTAATTAATGTTATTGTATTTTTAAACGATTTAAAAAAAATGTTTTACGATATCAGGTTTTTGGCTCTAAACCGATGTTTACAATTTTTTTTTAATCAATAGTTAACTCACATGTTAATTCAGTAATAATTTAACATAACATTCTTTATTAAATATATACAAAGTTGTAAAAGAGCATGAAGCAAGTGACATATGTAAGAATAGAGGTCTTTGGGACTTAATTCTCTCTACATACCTCGTAAGGGACTTGACGTGAAGTTAGGTAAATTAATACATACAGTATTAACAAGAAAGTACGCAACAACAAAATCGTTAAACAATGATTTAAAAACAGTACATCACCGAAATGCTAATTAATTATATATTATATGATCATTAATATATAATTATATATATATATATATATATATATATATATATATATATATATATATATATATATATATATATATATTTAATTTAATTATATATAATTATATATATAATTAATATATATATATACTTATAATATGCTTAATTGCCTAATATTAGCTAACAACTATAGTAACTAGTAATGTCTGTTCTTAATTCAAGCTTAGATAATTGTACAAATTATCTAAGCTTGAATTAATAACAGATACTTGTTCGTATCTATTTTATTTTACAGTTGTTTGTTAGCCTAAATAAATAAAAAAGAAATAAAATTATTAATTATTACAAATGGACAAAACCAGTGACAGGCTGGTTAAAATCAATGTGTTGAACATGAACGAGATAAAAGTATAAAGTTGACTTAAAAAAAACTAAAAAGAAAATTTTGGTACAGATTAATAAATGATAGAGAAAAGTGGAATAGAAAATACTAGTATACCTATAACGTAAGCTAGATTTTTTTATTGTTAGAGAGTCAAGTGAAAAAAAAAAAAATTATTGGCAAATGAAATTAAGTAAATGAACTTATACAGTAATCATCATATCAGTCGTGAACTGTCCACTATTAAACACAGGCCTCACCTATTGGGAGGTATTGCCTATAATTGCCATACTTGGCAGGCTGGTTGACAACTGCAATTAGGCTTCGGTGATCTTTAAAGAGAGATGCTTCTACCCATCCCTCGAACTTGAAGTTCTCTTAGTCGCCTTTTATGACACTCATAGGAAAAAAGGGATAAATAATTCTATGCTAGGACCAGTCAGCGATGCATACAGTAACGTCAAAGTGTATACAGTAATGACAAGTACGAAAAGTAAACTTTAAGCTATAAATGACAGTAATAAACAAAGCTACACATAGATAAAAAATTCAGACATAAAAACCGATCTTGTTATATTTGAATATCAAGTAAACTTACCCATAATTTTATAACAATTGGGTAAAAACTAGTTACACTGATTAGGAGTTAGCTTGGCTTCATGAGGCTAAATGCATCTGGATTTAATTCAGCACGGAAGCCAATGAGTTTAATGACAGCTGTTTTATCAAGTAACTATCAGGCATTTAAATATTAAAATTGTATAGTTTACAGATCATTTGTAGTTTAAACAAAGACTAAAGTATTACTATTAATATAAAGAACTCTAAAAATAAGGATACATATATAGAAAATTAACTCAACTCACCTTTTTATCATTGTCACCTAACAGACTGCAGACCCTAGCCACTCTATCCAATGGAAAACCCATTCCATGAATCTTCTGACATACACCCTGTAACTTTGCAGGCAATTTATCATATGGATTTGGCAACTGCTCTTTTCTTCTACTCCTTTTTTCATCCTTCTTTTCACTTCTAGAAGTCTGGGGTGTGGCTTTTGGAGCAGGACTGGCATTATATGATCTTTCATTCGCTCTAAGCTTAGCAGATGCTAACTCTTCATCCAACTCCTTAACAATATCAGGGACACTTCTAGATCTAGACTTTATTGTATTTTGGGAGGTTGCTGATGAATTCTGATTCTCAATATTTTTTGCTGTATTGTAAGGACTTGTAGGAGAGTATTGCATTGTTACTGGAGGACAATTGAAATAATAAGGCTGTGGTATATACGGAGACCCATTTAGTGCACGGTTAACATCTGACGTAGTTGGTAACTGAGTACTGTAATAATTTGAATTTACTGCTGGGTATGGATTAGCAGGTACATAATATTGATAATTTGGCATGTACATATTCATATTCTCTATTGGTACAGGGTTATCACAAGAGTTATCACTTGGTACGTAGTAACCATTGGAAACGGCATAATGTTCTGGAGAGTACATCATACTTGGACCATGGACAGATTGTTCCACAAATGCATTTGGCAAGTATGTTATACCTTCTAACTGTGTCTGAGATGCACAATTAGGGACTGCTGTATAACCCTGCTCTGGGACGTAGATCTGTGGGTGACAACTCGTACTAGAGTCTCTCTGGCTTTGCAACACTTGTGCTAACAATTCCATATCATTTATTGTCTTAAGTTCAACATTATCAAAAGGACTTGATGTATCATTTTCAAAATCTTTAAATGTCAATGTATCTACATTAGAATTATATTGTGGCAGTTTAGCAATTTTTGCACTCATTTTCAATTCTTGTAGAGGATCAGGGTCATCCAATAGACTGTTCTGATGGTAATTGGATTGCACTTGTATGGGTTGTAGTATATTTGGGGGAGATTCTGGTACAGTAGTGCACATTGGAAAAGCAACATCTTTAGTGTCAGAAAATTCTGGACTTTCTTGCGTAGGGGTTATATCACAGGTTTGCTCAGCTTTTTCATCGGGGGACAATGCACTGATCTCGTCAGTACTAGGATAAGACACTTCTGATACACTCAACTGCTTCAATTTCTCCTCTGCTTCCGCTGCTGCTATTGCATCTAGTTTCTTTTGTTTCACTTCCTCCAGCAACTGAAGTCGATGTCTCCTTTCATTTTTCTTCGTCTCCTTTGCACTTCTAAGCTCTTTTAATTTTGAAAGTACATTTTTTTCGAATGTGGAGCAATATTTGACGCTTTCTACTACATTCTCAGCACGTAAAGGGCATTCAGTAACGCTATAAGGTAAATCTATTCGTGGTGGTCTCTTGTATTTTTCCGATATTTTAACGGGCACTCCGTCCATGTAATTCCCAAAATGTGACATATCAGTTGATTGCTGCACTATATATAATTAATAATCAAACAATGAGATGACAAAACTTTGTTTCTATTGAGTTTTTGCACTTCTAAGATTACATCGTACTCTTTCAAAATCATCACTATATATTTTTAGTTTATATGAGTAAATAGATTTCCGCTGAAACTTTTAGACTCCTCCATGACTAAGAAAAATATTTTTTCTATTATAATAAAAAAATTTATAGTATGAAATGAACAAAATAATTATAATAGTTACGTGTGATGACATTAGCAATGTCAAAATGAAATGTCAGTTGTCAAATTTTCACTGTTCAATTGCTTGTTGCAAGGTGAAATAAATTAACTGCTAATAAAAGTCATGTGACTATATTCAATATTAAAATACTGAGTATTATATTTAATGAGACTCTAGAGATCCCATAAGACACACATAAAGTTTTTAACTCATTATTTACTGCACGCAACAGAAATTGGAATATTTATAATAATCAAATTTAATAATGGCCTTAATGCTGGTTTGGCATAATACTGGTTTGCTATGGAACTTCAACATTTGAACGAAAAAAAAAATAAAATCACGTGTACATTTCGTTATGCTCCGTCAGATGTCGCTAAAGGGTTCTTTTATGTCATGGCGGATTTTTTCATTACATTTTACTCATTTGCGGTAATTCGTGGGTAGATTTATTATTACCGGCATAGAATTAATTTTAGCTCGTTCTGTTGTCGTGGTGAACACCAGTGATAGGCCATATTGTAAGCAGTGATTAATTCGCTATAAATTTTCGCAGAGACGTCGAACTTCAAATCGTCTCGAATTTCGGTGGTCCAAGAAAAATAGATTATTCAATTTATCGTTGCACCATAATTTAATTAATATATTACGCCTACAATGACGCAGTAGCGGGTCAGAAGCGTCAGTCCGCCATCAGATTTAACATTTTTAAAACAGGTCAGTGCAATGAAAATTTTATATTGGTACGGATACTATTGGTATACCGGCAATTTTTGATAAAGGTGTTTCTTGTTAACAGAAAATTAGAATACTATGAACGAGGGAGCGCCAGTAATGTACCACGCAAATGGGGAGTTTAGCCCGGGACCTATGTACATGATGCCTGGTGGCGACAGACAGAGGCAATATCAAATGGATACGCTGTCGGGCGGCGAGAGATCACGCGGTGGCGGCTCGCCCGGCCGCCTACAGGGCGCAACAAGGCGGTGGCAGCAGCGCCGCGACAGGCAACACACATACAGGACAGACAACAGGGCATTTGGCTATGATTCAGATGACTCCAGTTTATCTAGCAATGCTTCTGGATCTAACAAGTCTGCAGACAAGGGTGAGTGTGCCAGTATTTATTAACTGTGCCTGTTTTAGAACATTTTTAATGTATTTTAGTTTGTGCTAAATATATAAGTTGTGGGTAGATTCACATGTTGGTTTTCAAATAAGAAATAACTTTTAAAATGTATATTGAAGTAAGTAATAAGGCATTCTCTTCTCTACCCACATAATGTTCAATCTAATACATAATTGTTTTAGTAATGTAATACCAGAGGGAAACTTTGTACAAAAGTAGATTGCTTGGGTACCTCTGTCCCATTCGCGTTTCAACCGTGAAGCAGTTGTGTTTGCATGGCTGTGTTTCGGTTTGAAGGGTAGAATATGGCGTGAATTTACTAAGTACAGAGGAATAACAATTGAATCCTCAGGAATGGCAATGCATGGGGATATCATGGGCGAAACAGTATACTCTGTTATGTCCATGGTACTGCTCATGTCTATAGTTGACGGTTACCACTTTCCATCAGATGGGCCGTCAGCTTGTTTGCCATTCTAAGTTGTATAAAAAAAATCCAACATAAACAGGTAGTGCTTATCTAATTTATAAAGTGATATACTTAGATTTTCATCTTCAGTTAAAATTGTAATATCATTATTATATTTATGCAACTGTGAGTGAGGAAATAAACAAGTCATGTGTGACATACAAGCAAAGACTTCAATATCATATCAACAACATAGCCCTGAAACTTCTAGAAACAAGTAGTAATGCATTCCCATCTGTGAAGAGCATACATAGCTAAATTATAAGTGGTCTGCTTATAGATGGAATGGAAGCGATGTCATATTAATGGATAAGGAAATCCCAAAAATTTTAGACCATACGTCTTAATCAGATGTAATTATAGCTAGTAAAAAGGCTGATATATATAAATGCAACAATTTAGTCTGTGGATTAGCTTAAATATAAAGCAGTGTCACAATTTCTGACTAACAGTGATAGTGGTTAAAAATAAAAAATGTGGACTGATATCCACAGTACAGATAACATTAAATTCTCAATAAATAATTATTTAAATAAGAAATGTAAACAGTCTTCACTGTAATGAATTATAATTAAGAAGTACCCTCAATTGTTCATCGAAATATTAATTTTAAATTAAATCCATCAGCCATTTAAGAGTTTCTTACTCTTCAACATTGCTTATTTACCAACAAGCTGAATGAAATAGGCTGGTCCTTTTATGCTGTTATAGGAGTACTATATTTGAGGCCAAAATCTTTTTTTATAATCATGAAATTTTAATTATGCGGTGAAAAAATTACAGCACATACAATAGAGAACTACTGCACATTATGAATATATAAATATACATACATGAATACATTAAACAAATTATTATTTGTTTATTGTGTATTTTTATTACATATTTGTATATTTATGTATTCATAAATATACAAATATGTAATAAAAATACATACATACAAATATAAATATACATATATAAATATACTAGCTGTCATCTGCAATCAATTCCTCTACTCGCATTTTTTTTAAATTATGCTGTGCAAATATGATAAACAGAAAACATTGTAGATGTTACCTACCATGTAAAGAATTATTACTAACTCTCAACTATAAATATAGCAAAAATCATTCTTGTCTCTACATTTGTAGAAAACTAAAGTTTGCTTCATCATCATATCAGCCCTTTAACTGTCCACTGCTGAACTTAGGCCTCCTCCATAAAGAGGGGATTTGCCAGTAGTTACCATGCTTAGCAAGCGGGTTGGCAACTGCAACTTTTTTTTTAAAAGAAATTTTTGTTGAGGCTTTAGTACACCGGATTGAGTATGCCAGCCTCATAGGTATTATCTAAAAGTCAGTCTGTCAGTCCGTCTGGGACACCTTTACCCACAGATATAGCCATCTTGCTTTTGAACTGCAATTAGGATTTGGTAATGTTTTAAGAGGGAGGTACCAACAAGTTTTTATACCACTGAGGGTATTTTTAATGGAATGATGACCCCGCCTGCGCTATCAGTATACACTGGCGGGGCACCAATAAAGGATGACTGGTAAAGATGAAAAGGCAGGTCAGTGAACGAAAAATTAGTCACAATGGTTTCCAGGAGAAACCGCGTGGAGGTCAACCTGGTATATTGATAGCAATGGGGACTAACTTCCCCATTACTAACTATCCCTTCCCCTCATACCACTGAGGTGGCAAACATGCATACGGTCCACTTGAAGGTAAGCGGTTGGATTAAGTTCCCTTAGTTGTGTCTTATGACACCCACGGGTCAGGAAAGGGTGGCTCATTCTATGCCGGGACCACACGGCAAAAGCTTGCTTATAATATTACTATTTTAAACAAACTTCTGTTTGGCTGTAAACCTCGAAAAGCTAAGACTTTTCTTAGGTCTTTCGAAAACTGAAATAAAAAAAAAATCATATATTCGGAAACAGAGTGTTGTTGTTTTCCTCAAATAATAATCTTATAGTTTGTAGACCTTTAACATTTGTAAATAAAAGTAAAATATTCATTCATTCTTATCACGTTATTCCTCCGACTACCTACTGTAGTTTTTTTTTAATAGATTTTTTTTTATACAACTATGATAATGAAATGGTAACCCCACCCACGCTATCGGTATACACTGGCCGGACACCAGTGATAGATGATAGGTGAGGATGGAAAGACAGGTCAGTTGGGCCATCGTGATCAATACACCTGGAATCCAACACTATGGTTTCCAGGGGGACCACGTGGAGGTCGACCTGATAGGGTATTGCTAGCAATGGGGATTATCGTCTTCTTCATCGTCACCAATCATCGCTCACTGGGGCACCAGTGAGCGATGATAGGTGACGATGAAGTCGGATCAGTTGACCCATCCTGACGAATTTAATAATAATTAATCACGAGGGTTTCCAGGGGGAACCGCGTGGAGGTCGACCTGACGTGGAATATAACTAGCAATTGGGATTAACGTCCCCATAACTAACAATCCTCCGCCCTACCTACTGTAAATGGAAACTTCAAAATTTTATGATAAAATAACTCACGGCGAGATATGGTTGTTACGTGGCCAAGTATACAGCTTCGGTCGCCTGTCACTATGACGCAATACACTTTATCTGTACTGAGTAAGTTAAGATAATAGTCTAAGAGTTGACTATTCGAATGCTTAATAGGTTTATATTTATAGTGTCTCAAGATCTTACTGTTGTCAATGCAATAGATTATTATTAGCACTGCAAAGTACAAGGTAACCGCTGCAAGTCTCCGAGGCAAATCGGACAGGGATCGTTAACAATGGGATCTAACAACCCCATTTGACCTCCACGCGATTCCCCCTGGAAACCGTCGTGGTGAATTCTCGTGGAATTATTTACGATCGGCTTACTAACCTGTCTTTTTATTCTCACCTTCTGGTGACAGATGGTTTCCAGGGGGAACCGCGTGGAGGTCGACCTGAGAGGGAGGTATATTGCTAGAAACGGGGATATTAAATTCCCCCCCCCCTCCCCCAAGGCGGATTAACTTAAATTATTTATTTATTTAACAGAAAGAGATAATAAGTGAAATCGAAGGTAGATCAATTTGTCTGTCGTGCTGAATTCACTAGAAATTAAACACGATGTGTTTCCAGAAGGATCGGATGGAAGGCAACCTGATGATCCATTAGCCAGTGTAGACAACTACCTAGAGGCTCTCCATCAGATAGAGACCACGAACAGCGACAAAAAAGTTTTTTGAAAAGTTTAAGTGAAGATAAAATTAAAGATTTATATATATACCCTCATTAAAAATATTAACGTAACGCGTAACGCAATTCAGATTATGCGGAATTTTACCATACCAATTTTTTTTTTTCGTAAACAAGACGTTTATTGCGTAGAAGCCCTAACATGGTTAATCAACTACGTAGTTTATTGCTAGCAATAGGAGCGGTAATCTTTACTACTAACAGTTGCATCTCGCTCCAAAATATCTTTCATGTCTTTTTTTTATAAAATAACCCATCCATGCACATGTCGTCACGTTCCGTTTGGTCCCGGCATAGAATAGGCCACCCATTCCTTTCCCGTGAGTGTCGTAAGAGGCGACTAAGGAGGGCGAGGAACGGGCAGCAGCGTCCCTCTTAAAACATCTCTAAAAGCGGTAACTAACATCTCTAACAATACAAACAATGGTAAACATCTCTAACTGCAGTTGCCAACCCGTCTGCCAAACGTGGCGACTACTGAAAAACTCCCCTTGTAGATATAGATATAAGCCGTCCACGACTTTATTTATAACATTTATAATTGGCAGTAGGAGTTCTGTTACCAAGTCCCTTGTTTGTTGTTCATATTTGCAAACTATACATACTACAAGTAGGGCTGCCATCCGTCCGGAACTCCCCGGATTTGTCCTAGTTTGAAGGATGTCCGGGGGCCGTCCGGCAGGGGTCTTTGAAAAGTGTCCGGGGTGTAACTCGGACACTTTTGTTGTCAAGGGAAATCAATTTTTTTTATAGGTAGGCGATCAATTGAAATAAATCTTAGCTACCAATTCATCCACAATAACCCTGTTTTTTATATAAGAATGTTTTTATTTTTGTTACAAAAAATATTTTTTTATAAATGTCCGGGGAAAAAACCATATTTCGCCCAAATGTCCGGGTGTTTTGCCGTGTTTATCCGGTGTCGACAATTTAAGTGATGGCAGCCCTAACTACAAGGCATGCATAACCTATCCAACGCACGAGACCACTTTGAGGCGATAATTTTTTTTCACGTCACCGTGTTCTCTACTCAGAAAGTGCGAATTGTGTCACTAATACAAATGTTTTCATGTACCTAAATATCGCGCGTGACTTGGTCCGTGACGAATTTGAATGCAAAATTTAATGATTGATGTTCTTTATTTAAAATGTGAAGATCGCTTTGACATAAGGAAATGCAATTTTATTACGTCGATATAAATATTCAATTTAAAATGACGCGGATATTAAACGACTTGAAACAAAGGAAGTTCCTAATTCGAATGTATTTTTTTTTATATTTGTTGCCTCAGAACTCATCAGCCGTAATTTATAAATCGATTTGGTTTTTTTTTGTATCTAAATGGTTCTTTAATGAATGATAATGGAATGGTAACCCCGCCTGCGCTATCGGTATACACTGGCGGGACAGCAGTGAGAGATGATAGGTGAGAATGAAAAAGCAGGTCAATTAGCCCATTCATTTGGAATTCAGCACGATGGTTTCCAGGAGGGACCACATGGAGGTCGACCTTTTTGGACATATTGCTAACAATGAAACTAGTAGTCCGCATTATTAACAACCCCCCCCCCCCCCCCCCATCTAAATGGTTATAGATAGATACTATTTATTGTTTCCTCCATAAGATTACAATAGTAAACTTATTATAGATACAAACAAGTACAAGCAATAATCATAGTGAGCAAACAATGGGCGACCTTATCGTTAAAAGTGTTATACTTACAGATTAGTTGTATAGATATTTTATCACAATCGTTTCAGTATTTTTGTTTTTATATCAAAATGTCTCGTTTTGAAATAATTAAACTTTTTTTTTTGTGCGACACAATTGTTATGCATGTTATTTATTTATAAGAAACAAACAGCGTTGTCAATACGATTTTGAATAATTTTGATAAATTTAGACCTTTAGTCCTACGAATATGAATATGACCCGTCCGTTCTGTCGTAAGAGACGAAGGGAGAGTGAGGGATTGGCAACAGCGTCCCTCTCCTAAAACAACTCTAAATCCTGACTGCGGTTGCCAATCCGCCTACCAAGCGTGGCAACTACTGGTAAAGCCCTCCAAGGGGGAGGACAGCAGTGGACAGTTAAAGGCTGATAGGATTCGTCCATTTATCCAAAATTATATTTAAAAATATTTCCGTTCATCTCTAATTGTCTCGTCCCTTTACACACAATTGAGTTTTTTTTATACAACTTAGAATGGCAAACAAGCTGACGGCCCACCTGATGGAAAGTGGTAACCGTCGCCTATAGACATGAGCAGTACCATGTACATAACAGAGTATACTGTGTCGCCAATTTTACTCTTCATGCTTTGCCATTCCTGTGGACTGAGACGGTATGCCTCTCTGTACTCTGTAATTTCACTGCTATATCCTACTGTTCTTGTGGTGAATAGGTGAAGGCACATCACGTGAACGTAACAACGCGGGCACCGGGCCAGCGCAGCAGGGCAACTACTCGCGCGAGTGGCGGCCGCGGCGGCGCGAGCAGCACACGCGGCAGCGGCGGGTCCTGCCCGACCGGTACCCCAACTCGTCCTACTCCTTCCAGGTGAAATTCACACCGGACGATCTGCTCAACGGTGAGTAGCATACGCTTGGATTGATTTAGTAGGTAAGGAATGTAATGACCTCTTTTTCAAATGGATGATAATGGAATGGTAACCCCGCCTGCGCTAACGGTATCAATGAGGGATGATACGCGAGGATGAAAAGACAGGTCAGTTAGCACATCATGATGAATACACGAGAATTTCAGCACGATGGTGTTCAAGGGGGATTATCTAGGGGTCGACCTGATTGCGTATATTGCTAGCAATGGGACTGCTAATTCACATAAATAACAATCCCTTGGACGCTTACAACACTAAGGGTGTAGATAAAACCTCGGCAATGAACTTTTTCCACAGCCTGAGCTTTCGTGTGAGATAACCTCTCTGATACCATACTTTACACGACCAATTTAGATTCTATCATGCAAGGATGAATTCCCTGTCGATGGCAAGCAATGAGCTGACAAGTGTCTGTAGGCATCATTTCGAACAATTTCTCGGAACTCAATCCGTTATACAAGCGGTAGAGCACACAAAGGGAGGCAAAGTCTCGTCTTAGACTTAAGGGCTCGGTACCGCATGCAACTTAGAATAGCAAACAAGCTGACGGCCCATGGAATAATGGAAAGTGGTAATCGTCGCCTATAGACTTGAGCAGTACTGTGAACATAACAGAGTATACTGTTTCGCTCATGATACCCCCCATGCGTTTCCATTCCTGAGGACTCAGGTGTTATTCCTCTAAATTCACTACCCATATCCCACCCTTCAAACCGAAACACAGCCATGCAAACACAACTGCTTCATAGTAAAACACGAGTGGGACAGAGGTGCCTAAACAAACGACTTTTGTACAAAGTCTCCCTCTAGACTCTGGTATATATATGGCATGTATAGAGCTTAAAAAGATTATAAAAAAGTAGAAAAGAAATGTTGCTATAATACAGTAATATTCCACTGGATTGGCCCTGTTTACTTCTGTATGCTAATTTAATACGTGCGTAATAAACGAATACACAATATTGCTTAAATACATAATTGTATATATATAAAAAAAAATGTCATTCTACAGAATGAATTGCTCACACGTTTGAATAATTAGACATGTGTAGACAAAACACCTGAAGCATTGTTCTTTCAATTAAAATTATTAGCGTTCATTAAATACATCCTTGTTATAATTTTGCATGAGCACTGTCCTTGTGCTGTTAGAACAGAAATACAGTCCTTACCTTACCTTCTACCAGAGGGAGACTTTGTACAAAAGTCGTTTGCTTGGCCACCTCTGTCCCATTCTTGTTTCAACCGTAAAGCAGTTGTGATTGCATGGCTGTGTTTCGGTTTGAAGGGTGGGATATGCCGTGAATTTACTGGGTACAGAGGAATAACACCTGAGTCCTCAGGAATAGCAACGCATGGGGGGTATCATGGGCGGAACAGTATACTCTGTTATGTCCATGGTACTGCTCATGTGTATAGGCTATGGTTACCACTTTCCATCAGGTGGGCCGTCAGCTTGTTTGCCATTCTAAGTTGTACAAAAAAAAAAGCATGAACACTGTCCTTGTGCTGTTAGAATAGAAATACAGTCCTTACCTTACCTTCTACCAGAGGGAGACTGTACCAAAATAGTTTGCTTGGGCACCTCTGTCCACTGTAGATATATTTTATACACGATATATAACTACCCACGAAACGTTGCTGTCTCGCTTTTTTTTTTTTAATTTATATTTTTTTTTTAACACGTCAATCCTGTAATATCTAAACAGATTATCTAATACCACAACTAAAACTAAATAATTTACTTTAGCACAAGGCAATTTTGACAATAGGAGCATTTTTTTTATGCATGCATTATACTCTGAACAATACCCACATCAAATTTATGAATGTTAAATGATTTTAAAAATTATTCCCTTTTACTTCGATTCTTATCACATTCCATCAATAGGTGTCGCTCTTCATGCTCACATACTTTTTTTTTAATGGATGATAGTAGAATGGTAACCCCGCCTGCGTTATCGGTATACAAAGGCGGGGCACCAGTGATAGATGATAGGTAAGGATGAAAGGACGGGTCAGTTAGCCCTGGAACTGGAACACACCTAGAATTCAACACGATCAAGTTGCAAAAAAAAAAAAAAAAAAAAAAAAAAAAAAAAAAAAAAAACGATGGTTTCCCAGGGGGACCACGTGGAGGTCGACCTGACAGAGTATATTGCTAGCAATGGGACTGGAAAGGGATTGTTAGTAATGGAGACAGAATCCCATTGCTAGCAATATATCCAACCAGGTCGACCTCCTCGCGGTTCCCTGGAAACTATCATGGTTAATTCCTGATGAATTCATCATGATGGGCTAACTGGCCTGTTTTCATTCTCATCTATCACTCTCCACTGGTGCTCCGCCAGCGTATCCCGTTAGTACAGGCGAGGTTACCATACCATTTTCACCCATCAAAAAAAAAAAACAATCCCTTTCCCCCAATGCACACATACTTAACCTAGTACAGATTTTTAAATATGGTTTTGATTGTTTCAGGTTCAAAATGGGATACGCTATCACAAGAGATTTGGGATAAGTTCGTCAAGTCACAGCAGACAGAGGAGACGTTCAGGAGGAAGATGAATCTTTGGAAATATCTCTATGTCAATATTAGGGTAAATATTTTTTTTTTTATACAACTTAGAATGGCAAACAAGCTGACGGTCCACCTGATGGAAAGTGGTAATCGTCGCCTATAGACATGAACAGTACCATGGACATAACACTATACTATTTCGCCCATGACGCCCCATGCGTTGCCATTCCTGATCCTAAAATATAACGCAATGATCATACTAATACCTGTTTTTTTTTTTAATGGATGACAATGGAATGGTAGCCTCGCCTACGCTGTCGGTATACACCGGCGGGGCACCAGTGAGGGATGACAGGTGAGGATGAAAAGGCAGGTCAGTTAGCCCATCGTGACGAATTCAACATGAATTGTTCACGATGGTTTCCAGGGGAACCACGTGGAGATCGACCTATTAGAGTATATTGCTAGCAATGGGGCTGTTAAACTCCATTGCTAACAATCCCTTTCCCCTTGGTAAATACCTGTCGTGTAGATTTGTACCAAAGATTATTTCGTGTAGGGTGTCTGATTCAGTCTACTGCAGCTTATAATGTAAGGGTAAGATGAAAAAGTTGCTGAAGAACGGTGTGATAGATAGATAGGTATTCTTTATTGTTTCCTCCATAAGGTTACAATAGTAAACTTATTATAAATATAAACAATTACAAGAAAATACTACACTAAGAAAACAATGGGCAGTGGCCTGGAAGAGCCAGGCAACCTTTGGATTGAGAAGAGTAATTATAAACAGTTTGATCGGAGTCGCTAAACTCTTCTTTTTGTATTAGTATGACCCTAGTCTCGTGGGGGAAAAGGGATTGTTAGTAATGGAGACAGAATCCCATAGCTTGCTATATACCCAACCAGGTCGCCAACCTCGCGGTTCTCCCTGGAAACTATCATGGTTAATTCCTGATGAATTCATCATGATGGGCTAACTGGCCTGTTTTCATTCTCATCTATCACCGTTCACTGGTGCTCCGCCAGCGTATCCCGTTAGCGCAGGCGGGGTTACCGTTACCATACCATTTTCACCCATAAAAAAAAGTACATATAGAAAACATAGCTACTGTATAGTGTAATATATTCAAATGTCACTAATGAATAAATAAATATATTTATTTTATTTATTTATTCATTAGTACAAATATGTGTACATGGCGGACTTAATGCTAAAAGCATTCTCTCCCAGTCAACCATAGGTAAGTGTCAGAATACTCGAATGCGGTACTAGTAATTATTGATATACATACATACTAAAATTACATTAATATACTATTTGTAAATGTTTTTTTTTTTTTTATTCGATATGAAGCGGTTCTCGTTTAGTTCATAAATAACGATAAGAAGGACCAATGACCATGAACTATCAGGTATGAATCGTGGAATGTATGTGTTACAGAATATATTCCCCCGGTACGGGCTGTACGTGGTGGGCTCGACGATGTCCGGGTTCGCGCTGGACTCGTCGGACATGGACCTGTGCCTGTACGTGCGCCCGCTCGACCACCTCGAGCCGCGCGCCCACGCCCTGCTGCATCTCAACTACATACTCACCTACATCAAGAGTTTCGACCCTGCTGACTTCGGACTAGGTGCGGCGCTCGCTTGCACATATATTCTACCTCAAACCTCTCCTAGACCTATTTTACTTTTTAAATACATTTGTCTCTTTCTTTTATGAGACATTCCGTATTTGAAAGAAAGTGATAATACTGCCTAATTAGTTCTGTAGAATGTTTTTACTTTATACTCGTGTATGTGTATGTATTTGTGTGTGTGTGTGTGTGTGTGTATATATATATATATATATATATATATATATATATATATATATATATATATATATATATATATATATATATATATATATATATTCAGACAAATAACACAGTGACCCCGTGAGAATGACCCCGTGGCCATGTTCAAAGTTTTGTTCTATCCCATGCAAACATTAACCAATACAATTCTATCTATAATTTAATTTCTCACTTATCTAGGGGGCCTGATGAAAGTCTTATAACATAAATAGTTATGTGCCCAGTTCAAGCCAGTGATTTTTTTTAATGGATGATAATGGAATGGGAACCCCACCCGCGCTATCGATATACACCGGCGGGGCTCCAGTGAAGGATGATAGGTGAGGATGAAGCAGGTCAGTTAGCCCATCGTGATGAATTCAACAAGAATTGTTCACGATGGTTTCCAGGGGGAACCACGTGGAGGCCGACCTAATGAGGCATATTGCTAGCAATGGGGCTGTCAAACTCCATTGCTAACAATCCCTTTCCCCCCTCAAGCCAATGTTGTTACCTTTAAGTTAATTATTATCTATAAGATAAAGATCTATAATTGTAAAGTTATTATTTATTACGACGTCCACAGAATAGGAAAGAGTGGTTCATTCTATGCCGGGACCACACGGCGAATATAATATTTATTTACCAACAATTTCTACTACCCTCTTGACCGATTTATTATATAAAGTTCGATCATTGAAGAAAATTGTTAAATTTTAATAAACACAATTGACGTATTACGGATTGCGTACCCCACATGACACAGCTGTATACATAGTAGCTGTATAATATAAACAGTAGCCATGCAAACAACAAATACATTTTATATTGGACATACAGTTTTATTCTAAAAACGATTCGTACCAACACCACATTATTCGGAACACAATTTCTATGTAAAATGACACTTGTATTAACAATAACACGGTTTTGTTTAACAATTCTGAATTAAATTGATTGATGGCAGTTAAAATACATACGCCTGTTTGTAAGAATAACGTGTTTTTATGAAAAATATTATTTTAATTTTCTCCACCGTCAGCACTGTGATAAATACGTAAATATCATAATTTTTCCGCTTAATTATTTAACAGATGTGATATTATAAAATTAATTATTTAACTTACTCTAGATAGATAGATACTCTTTATTGTTTCCTCCAAAAGATTACAATAGTAAACTTATTATAAATACAAACAATTACAATTATTTCTTGTTAATTTGTATTATTAATCAGCTGTTAACCGTCCACTGCTGGACGTAGGCCTGCCCCATAAAGGTTTTTTTTTTCCAATGGTTGCCATGCTTAGCAGGCAGGTTAGCTTTGGTGATGTTTTAAGAGGGACACTTCTGCCCGTCCCTCGACTATTAAGTTCACTTAGTCGCCTCTTACGACACTCCCAGGATAAGAAGGGAGGATCCATTTTATGCAAGGACTACACGGCGCTTTTTTTTTATTTATTTATTGACCACATTACAAAATGTTTGGTACAAAAAGCGGACTTAATGCATACACGTAACTGTAGTTCACAAAATGGTCACAGCTCAGTTTATTGGTTTGCCTTCAATAGAGCAAAACACTGATATTCTTTTGTGGCCAACAATGAATGAATGTTTGTTTTGAAGAAGCGGAGCTGATCCAGGCGAAGGTGCCGATACTGAAGCTGCGCGACCCGCGCAACGGGCTTCAGGTCGACCTCAACTGCAACAACCTGGTCGGCATCAAGAACACCACGCTGCTCAACAACTTCTCCAAAAGTATGTGTAGCAATAATAATCGTGTCATGGGCGTAACAGTATACTCTGTTATGTCCATGGTACTGCTCGTGTCTATAGGCGACGGTTGCCACTTTCCATCAGGTGGGCCGTCAGCTTGATTGTCATTCTAAGTTGTATAAAAAAAACATAGTATTTAGTATTAATATAAACCTATGTGGTTTCTGAATGCTTATGTAACATAATTTTTGTAACTTAACATAGTTTTTATTGAGAGTTATTCAAGACGAAGGATTATGTATATAATACATACATAATCGGGGAGTACGAGGAGGTCGACCTGTTAAGGTATATTGTCAGCAATGGGATGGATAATCCGCATTGCTAACAATCCGTTCCCCCCCAGCCCCGATGCCGGGTGGTGTTTTTTTTTAATGAGTGAAACTGGAATTGTAACCCCGCCCGCGCTATCGGTATACACCGACGAAGCACCTGTGGAAGGTGTTAGATGAGAATGAATGCAGGTCAGGTGGCCAGCCATGATGACTTCGACAAGAATTATCTATAAGGGTCTTTAGGGGGAACCGCGTGAAGGTCGACCTGTTAGGGTATTGTTAGCATTTACGCACCCGTCGCCCCCGGGCCGATGCCGGGTGGTGTGGTGCAGCCGCTTGCAACAGTGTGGACGCCGGCAGTGGACTGGCGCGTGCGGCCGCTGGTGGCGCTGGCCAAGCTGTGGGCGCGCGCGCACGACATCAACGACGCGCGCCGCCGCACGCTGTCCTCCTACTCGCTCACGCTCATGGTCATACACTTCCTGCAGTGTGAGTACGGCTGCGACCACATTACACACATACAGTACATACATACATACATACATACATATCTGTCACGCCTGTCTCCCGTTACGGTAGGCAGGAACAATGGAACGACAAATGCTTCGATTCAAACAGACCTCTTTCGCTTCCTCCACACTCATCAATCTTTTCATACACGCTCGCCGGTTACGGGTACTTTTAATTTGGCCCTTCTTCAGCACGTCGCCTATTTGGTCGTCTAGTGCGGCCCCTACCGACATCTCCATTCATTCTTGCTCGATAAATCTCTTTCGTAATTCTTCTTTCATCCATCCTCTCCAAATGACGAAACCAACGCAACATTAATACGTAACACAAACACAGTAATAGTAGTAAACTAACGTACCACTCTGTACCAAGTCTCCCTCTAGTAGTTTGTTTGTTGTTTTTTTATATGAATGTTATTTTTTTTAAATGGATGATAATGCAATGGTAACTCCACCTGCGCTAACGGTACACCAATGAGGGTTTTTTTTTAAAGGTGATAATGGTATGGTAACCCTGTCTACGCTACCGGTATACACTGGCGGGGCACCAGTGATAGATGACTGATGAGGATGAAAACAGGTCAGTTAACCCATCCCGATCTGGTTTCCAGGGGAACCGCGTGGATGTCGACCTGATAGGGTATATTGCTAGTAATGGTAGCCCCGTTAACCCTATTACTAACAAGTTTTTCGAAGTAAAAGGTCATTTCATATTTAAATTACAAAACAGATATGAGTTTACATAGTAATTTATCTGGCCGCAAAACACGACAGATATGGATTTTCACACAACTTTTGCCGGCCGCTGCCCGCGTGCATCTGGCCAGTACGGCAATATTTGATTTATCTCGAAGAAGATTGTCAAAATAATGCACACATTTGCAAGCGTGTTTGAGAAAGAAAATTTTACTTCAATTAGTTGAGCAGTTTGGTGGTTAGCGTGAACGGACATGGAGGTCATGATGCGAGGTTTTCATGTATGTACCGAGTAGTGATGTGACGGTTGGTTGGTTGGTTGTGGCGCCGGCAGGCGGCACGAGTCCGCCGGTGCTGCCGCCGCCGCAGCTGGCCCGCGCGCGGCCGCACAACCGCTGCACGCTCGCCGAGCTCTTCCTCAACATGCTGCGCTACTACGCAGACTTCCCGTCAGTACACACTAGTATAAACTAATATATCCCTTCTTTGCATAGTGCTGGACATTTGCATCGTAACATTGAATGGCCAAAAATTGTATGAAACAACAAGTTCACTTTAAATTGATCGTGTCTGGATACCTTTTTAATGTTCATTGTAGAAAAAAAATATATAGCTGTTAAATTTGGTTTTTTAAATATTTTTTCTTTAATTGTGTACCTATATAAAAAGTTATACAAAGAAGGGATTATAGGAAACTGTAAATTTGCTCAATATTAAAAGATTTTTTTTTGTGGTAACACATGTTATTTTATGATTTAAAAACTATTGAAATTATTTTGATAAAATGTCTACGGGAAGAATTTGTAAGTATATCCTTTTAGATAAAAATACCATGCAAACACAACTGCTTCACGGTTGAAACACGAATGGGACAGAGGTACCCAAGTATTTTTATTATGTATTTATTAAACTGTATTGAAATGCAATCGTTTTAATGGAGATTTAAAAGAGTAGTGAGTATGTTGCGAGGTGTTGTAAGACTATCGTGTTTCATAGATCCCATTCGTGTGTCAACCGTGAAGCAGCTGTGTTTGCATGGCTGTGTTTCGGTTTGAAGGGTGGGATATGCCGTGAATTTACTGGGTACAGAGGAATAACACCTGAGTCCTCAGGAATGGTAACGCATGGGGGGTATCATGGGCGAATCAGTATACTCTGTTATTGTCCATGGTACTGCTCATGTCTATAGGCGACGGTTACCACTTTCCATCAGGTGGACCGTCAGCTTGTTTGCCATTACTAAGTTGTATAAAAAAAAAGACTAGATGGTTTAGTGAGTGTGCAGTGCAGTAGCGTGTGGTTGCGGCGCAGGTACGCGACGATGGCGGTGTCGGTGCGCGCGGGCAGCCGCGTGCCGCTGCCGCGCCCGCGGCCCTGGAAGCTGCTCTGCGTCGAAGGTGATGAACTGATGAGTATACTATAACCTGCCCACGAGTATGAACAATAATTGTACCAAGTTTCGTTAAAATCCGCCGAGTAGTTTTTGTTTCTATAACGAACATACAGACAGACAGACAAAAATTTTACCGATTGCATCTTTGGCATCAGTATCGATCACTAATCACCCGCTGATAGTTATTTTGGAAATATATTTCATGTACAGAATTGACCTCTACAGATTTATTATAAGTATAGATTGGAATCGTTTACAAAAGTGTAGGTTAGTGTTTACATTCCCGGTTTATGAGGAAACGCTTCGCTATACACTAAGCGTGGCTCTCAAAGTGAGAACATTACTGCTTTTACCGGAAATAGGTTGAGCTTTGAGATATTTAGGAGGGACGCTGCTGCCCATTTCTCACCTTCATTTAATCATCTCCTACGACATCCAGGGGAAAAGAAGAGGTAACCTATTCTACACGGGAATGACACAGCCATAATAGGGGGAAAGGGATTAAAAATAACGCAGACTACATTTCCCATTGCTAGCAATATACCCTATCACGTCATCCTCCACGTACTTCCTCCTGGAAACCATTGTGTTTAATTCTAGTTGAATTTTTCAAGATGAAGAAACTGACCTGCTTTCATCCCCATTTATCATTTCTCACTGGAGGTACCAGTGTATACCAATAGCGCAGACGAGGTTACCTCCCCCTTGAAGGGATTTTGCCAGTAGTTGTCACACTTGGCAGGCGAATTGGCAACATCAATTAGGCTTTGGAGATGTTTTAAGAGGGATACTGCTGCCCACTCCTCACTCGAAAAGAAAAGGGTAACCTGTTCTATGCCAAAAATTTAAAAATTTATTTATTTCACTGAAATTTAGGCAGATTGTACCGTGAATGATCCTCATGTTATACTAACGTGTACGCATGCCGTTACAGAGCCGTTCGACCTGTCGAACACGGCGCGCTCGGTGTACGACCCGGAGACGTTCGAGAAGATCGTGGCGACGTTCCGCAGCAGCTACCAGCGGCTGGCGGCCGGCCTCCGCCTGGCCGACGCCTGGCCCGCGCCCGACCGATGACCGCTCGCGCCCGCCGCCACGGACAAACGCCACTATGACTATTATATGTTCACGTTCCATAGTGCCATGTCGTTGAGTAATATTATTTTAGATTATGTATTTATTGTTGCCCGTGACAGTTTTCAAATTGTTGTTCCGTTGTTCGCGGTGGCCGAGTGACGGTAGCGGCCGCCTCGGTAGCCGCGCGTCCACGTACACGGGTCCCGTCCGGACGGGCCGCGTTCCTTTCCTCCACTTCCGGTGTTGTAAATATTTTTTTCTCGTACCTGCTCGTGAACAGAGGTAGTAGCGGTCCTTTGCTGCTTAGGGATCGCGGCGAGCCCGTCCGGCCGAGTCTATAGGACTAATAGTGATTCTCCGTGTCGACTTGAACATGTTCGCGTAACTTCCGAGATAAATGTACGTTTGAAAACTGTACACGTTTCGAATTTAAACTTGCATGTAATGGAGCGCTGCCAAAAACATCACTCACACCTCTGTAATTGTGAAGACTGAATAGTGTCCGACCGCGACTCGTATTAGCAGGACGTAGTAGGGGACGAGCCGCCGCACACTGGGTCCGCATCAAAATTAGTCCAAAACGTATTCGAACACCGGTAGGATCGCCCACAGGTGGCGTTCACGTTGTGTTGCTAAATTTGTCACAGGTGCATGATCAGATTTTGAAAGAAATATCTTATTTATCTGCGCTCGTACCTGTTACTACTTTAGGTGTCAAACCCTAGTAGTTGTAATATAAATCGGTCTATAAACATTTTGCTACATTATTTTAATCGTATTTTGATGTGGACTGCACCGTCGGGCGGGGTCGTTTGCGCCCATTCGCTTATAAGTTTTTGTTAGTACGTGCGAAGGGACGCAAGCGCCGCCGGCGGGCCTCGCGTGTATGTGGATCGTCACTTGCATAGTTGATTGTGAATCCCTGCGTACCAGTGACTGAGGGTCGGGTCGAGCGCTGCCTCTGCCGCGTCCTATACGTTTTTATTGTTCATATTGTTTATTTATAAGTTATTTAATCTGTACACGGTAAGAATGGAAGTTAACAAAAAAAAAAGCATATTAATATTGGAATGTTTTAGGGTTCGTATGTTTTATGTAAATAGTATTTTTGTGGTGAGCAATGAGTAAATGATAAAAAAAAAAGAATGTTTACGAAGTTAGTGCGTCGTGTGTGGGGATGCAGCCAGGCGGCGGGCCTGCGGCGGCGTATCCGCTCGGATCGCCTGCAGCGGCGGCCTCCTGTCCCTCTACTACTAAACTAGCTTGTAGTGATGCTGTATTAAGGTGCTACTAGTGTAACTCGCTCCAGTAATACATTTGAATGGTGCTAAATTGTTTTGTTGCCTTATGAGACGGGCGCCTGCCCTAGCGCCCCCGTAGGTATATATGCCATGTAAATATACCTGACGGTTCAACCCGCGGAGTTCCTATATGGGTGATATAAATATTAATAAGCATATCTTTGCTATGGCAAAGAATGTATCATTTTTGTTCTCGCTTAATATGGGAATTCTGTGTCGCGTTCGGGAGTGTAGTCCAGATTTTATGCCTCCAATATGAGGTTACTATTGTAAAATGTTATTCACATATCTTTTATGTATTAACGCAAACTATGAAACTCACTCTCGTGTTTGTTGCTGGGTTCACGTAACGCGAGCGAATTACTGCCGGCCGCACACGTTACGAACTACTATTAGCTTAGTGTGAGCAGTACGATCGTAACGTGCGTGTCCGACATTAGTTGTGTAAAGTATTTCACAGGTGCCCTACTCGCTGTTCGTATAATGTGGACTCGAATTTAAATATTCTCATATTAAACTGTTCAAACTGTCGAACGTGTAAGCAGTGTAGATCTCCCATGAATTATTGATTGGTGTTCGACAGGTAACGTGGTATATTTGGGAATGTTTATTGCATTTAAATTTATATCTGTAAATGTACTAGTAATTTATTTTAGATTCTCTTAGTCGTATGTATCATAGTATCCTGGTGTTATGGCATCATACCGATATGTTTCAAGCGATGCCACAAATCGTTAAGTTTGCTATCAAAGGTTTAGACTCGAAATTGTTCCAATCGGATTGGACAGCTCGCCAGGCGAGCGATAGTGGGCCGCGACCGCACAGCCCGCAAGCACGATGACCACCGACGTACACACGCCTGGCTATCTTATACGCATAAGTTTTATAACGATTTTACATAAGAGGCACTTGGCCGCGCTGAAATAATAAAAGTACAATAAATAATTTTTAAAAACGAGCTATATATATATATATAAATATACATATATATGTAAGAAAACTGAATAATAGAGTAATAATGGAAAGTGTCTCAAAAACTGTTTATTTTGAAAAAATATATAAAAAAAAGATATAAATAAACAAGAAAAAAAATACAATTGAAAAAACTACAAAAAAATTAAAAAAAAAGTTTAAAAACAAACAAAAAAAAAATATACAAAATGAAAAATCTTAAAAAATTTTTACTTTGACTTGTACCTAGGACTATTGCATGTTTTTACTTAAATTATTTGGGCGTCCATCTGCCTCGAACATTCGCCGTCATAAGCAAACCTGTGTGATCGTTCGTGCAACGAATTGGTAAACTCGCAACATTGTTAACAGCGGCTGTGAGATTTTACGACGTGCATCAACAGCAGCACTTTTCGCTCTAAACCCCACCCTACCACCATTTTCGCTTATGATCTATGGGGTATTTTTATCGCCCGCGATCATTTTACAATCTAGCCCCATCATGAATTTGTAGCTTTTAAAATGACCGCGCGGCACTCTCTGCAACCAGTTCCTAACATAGCACCTTCCTATCCATGAAAACAGTTTGTTTTGTGATATCAACACCTTGAACAGCTGGCTTGCTTTTTCTATGTTAGACATGGTGCTAAATGTTTTCTACTGTCCAAATCTTCGGCAGTAGAATTTTTCAATTTTTAGAACAGACAGGCACGAACGCATTGATTGTACGCACATCGTAAATATTAGCTTCAGAGAATGCCACCATCCAGTTTCAGATTGCAAATTCTTGAACGTTCTACCGTTAAAAGTGTGGACTTTATCGCAACCCCAGTGCTTGACACCACTTCTTGCGCCTAGCATAAGTGGGCAGTGTTTACAGTCCCGCCTTACAATACTTACAGTAGAATCCGCGAGCTGATATGCGACCTGCCTGTGCCTGACTGAATCGCGCTATATAGCAATATTTGATTAAATAAATAAATATTTTTGGCAGCAAAATTAACGCAAGTGATCCACGTGGCCACAAACAATAATCGACAAAATCTCCCGTCCCACTAGACGAGTACATAATAATCGATAGATACGTTTACGATGCCGTATGTACGAGATACAATGAGACAGCAATGTCCGGCGCCATGTTCTTTTTCATGCGCTCGCTAACGAAAATGTATCTACACATTTGCCACTTATCTAAGGGGCGGTTCTCTATTTATGGTAACACAAATACATTGTAATTCCGAATATTATCTGTGGTGTTAAAAAGCCCTCCTTACACGAATCGTAATAGGTTTTACTTTGCATATTTCGCCTAGTTCAATATGCCTCTAGCGTTGAAGATATTAAGACTAGAGTTTACATAGTCGGGCCTAAGTATGCAAAGTAAACCTGATTTTAATGTATATCGGGTTTTATAACCTCACTGATCCTCGTTTCATATTTCTTTTTTTTTTTTTTTGTATCCTACATAGACTATGCACTCAGTTAACAACAATAGCGTAATCTGCCATTTTCATGCGATTTTTATTAAATACAAATTAGATTTAACACTGTTTGTGGCCCGTATTAATGCAGTTTGGGTACAATACTTTATCACTGCCAACTTTGAAACAATATAATTTTTTTTACAGTTCTCTATTGTGTTCGATAGAGAATATATTGCAAATTGTACTTAAATGTTTTTTTTTTTATATCGTCGTTAAATTGTGAGTTCAAGGAAATAAAATGCAAATATCGGGATAGATTTTTTTTTTGTTTTACGTTATAATGTGCGTGCGAGTAAAGACTCGCAGCAAAAGTGCTGTACGTTTGTTGTAAATATATTACCTGTAAAATAGTTCCAGCTACTTTAATGATTTTGAAATTGTTTTGGATACCTTTTTATACGTCTATACTTGTGTTGCATTTTATTTTATTGAACAAAAGCAGTTTTTATCATCATCACTGTACAAAAAATTATTATTGTGAAGAAAATATTCTGTAATAGTTGAAATATATATACAAACTGCCAACAATGTCTTATTTCGCCCGATTTAGTAGTGCGATTCGACAATTAAGCCGCAGTATTCTTTAAAAGGTAATTTTTAAAACGTTTCCAGATTTTACATATATCACTGCAATAAATTAAATATGTTACTCCTTCCGTTAGACCGCATTCAAAGTCGGGCGGCACGAATTATCGATAGTCAACGCCTTACTGTCCGACTTGACCCACTGAAACTGCGCAGAGATGTTGCATCTCTGTGCATCTTCTACCGAATTTATCATGGGAAGTGTTCTGAGGAATTGTTCGGATTGATACCTGCTACTGATTTTCACCACCGTACAACCCGCCACAAACTAAAGTTTCATCCCAATCATCTGGACCAGTGGCGGTCTTCCACCGTGCGTTTTTCAAGGCACTTTCTTTCACGCACAACCATTCTTTGGAATCAACTTCCAGCAGCAGTATTTCCAAACCGATACGACAACATAACCTTCAAGAAAAGAGTATATTCCTTTTTAAAAGGCCGGCAGCACACCTGCAATGTCGCTGGTGTTGTGGGTGATCATGGGCGGCGGTAGTCACTTACCATCAGGTGAGCCGCATGCTCGTATGCCCCCTGTATTGTAAAAAAAAAAAAAAAAATGTTACGAGGTAGGATTTAATATTCTCCGAAACATAGTTTAATTTACACAATTTCATTATTTAAAAAAATAATTAATTTGTTTTATAGTAACATAATTGGTTTTTATCAGTATTACATTTAAAAAAAAAACTTGTGTTATTTTTATACGTACTGTATGAACCTTAAATATTATACATATGATTCAATTGATCATTATAAACAAACAGCTAGGTTCTAATCCTTTTAACTGGGGGGAAAGGGATTGTTAGTAATGGAGTTTGACAGCCCCATTGCTAACAATATGCCTTATTAGGTCGACCTCCACGTGGTTCCCCCTGAAGACCATCGTGAACAATTCTTGTTGAATTCGTAACGATGGGCTAACTGACCTACTTCATCCTCACCTATCATCCTTCACTGGTGCCCCGCCGGTGTATACCGATAGCGCGGGTGGGGTTACCATTCCATTATCATCCATAAAAAATCCTTTTAACTTCTGAAACGATTTTGATGAAAAATGTTTATTGTTCCTTTAGTTAAAGAGCCATCATACATAGGCAACATTCAGTGGCGTAACAATAGGGTGGCAGGGCTGGCAAAATGCCACGGGCCCCCGACCCAAAAGGGCCCCGGCTCAACAGGCCGCGAGCTCAGATTGTTTTTACCTTGTACCTGAGTATTTTATTTTACTTGAATATAAATGATAGGGCCCAATCAAAAGAATTTGTCACAAGTGCCAAATGGTATAGTTACGCCACTGGCAAGATTAGCCTGACACAGGGAAAAGTAGCACAAAGAAAAATAGGGCCTATAAGCAGCAGTGAGTCGCAATAGGTTGCTAATGGTGATAAAGTTGAAAGGTACATAACTATGTTGATAATATATATATATATATATATATATATATATATATATATATATATATATATATATATATCAATCCAGTTTCAGTAGTTTCTGTGAAATTCTTTAAAAGACATATTGTTAGCATCTTTACATTTAGTATACCAATATTTTATTATATTTGTATCATAACTGTTGTCAAGTGCCACTGTTGCTGATTTGATTTAACTACAAAATGGTGATTTGTAGTGATACATTGTTTACTTTCTAACATAAAAACGCTCATCAATTTTCGTATAGGTACTTCTGAAGGCCCAACACTGACGTGAATATTGTATGTAGGTATAATTTCGACAATATCACGTATTTTATGTAGGTACTTGTATACTTAGCATCCGCCAACAAAACTGGCTCATAACTTATAATGGTTTTGTGCCCAAAATCTCTTAATTCTGTAGGTAGCGTAGTTTTAAGTTTACTCCATAGGAGCTCATAAGATAGCATATCAAAAGCTTTGCTTAGATCTAAAATACATGCGTAGACTGGAGTGGATTGGTTTGTGTAGTATCTGACCGTATGCTTGAGACAAAAAATGACCGATTCAGTCGACACTCCCTGTCTGAAGCAAAACTGAAGGTATTTTTTTTGATGGGTGAACATGGTATGGTAACCCCGCCTGCGCTAACGGGATTCGCTGGCGGAGCACCAATGAAAGGTAATAGATGAGAATGAAAACAGGCCAGTTAGCCCATCATGATGAATTCATCAGGAATTAACCATAATAGTTTCCAGGGGGAACCGCGAGGAGGTCGACCCGGCTGGGTATATTGCTAGCAATAGGATTCTCAGTCTCCATTACTAACAATCCCTTTCCCCTTTCCCAAACTGAAGGTCATGCAGGTTTAGATGTCTAAGTTGCGTGTCAAGCAAACCGTCGAACACCTTGGCTGTTATTGTAGCCAGTGATATAGGTCTGTAAGTACCGCTGACCGAAGTTTATCCATAGCAAACACACAAAAATCTAATCTTTTGTCATTATTATAATATTAATTTAAATAATAATATCACAGTATTGTCATTAAAAAATAATGGCCATCATCGTGATAAATTATCAAGACTAAGAATTATCGCCGATAAGTCTTAGCGGGTAATAGACACCTAAGATAAAGCAACGCCAATACGTTCCAAAGTTAAGTACGAATGAAGGGGGCCGCTACATTCGTCCTTACATACCCTATATTGCAGTGCGAAACATGCTCATATAATAATTTTTATTCAATATAGTGAGTTATAAAATCGCTTAACCATGGTCCCCATATGGTTCGAGCCTATATCTGGGGGACCTATTAACCCTTCTTTGCATGTTTTTTTTTATTGGTGAATTAAATCAAGATGATATAATTCATGTTCAAAATTAAAGGAAAAATGGTTAAAGAAATGAATGTGACAGCTATGTTTTTTTTTCTGCGATGGACATTAAAAAGGCATCTAGACACGGTCAACTCAAAGTGAACTTATTTTTTTATATTATTTTTGGCCATGCAATGTTATGATGGAAATTGCCATCATTATGTAAAGAAGGGTTAAATTATATACAATTTTATAAATTAGATATTCCTGTTACAGTGACTGGATAGTTATATATAATTGCTGTGTGAGCGCGCGCGCATGTGTAGTAGATATTATGTAGGTACTCGTATAGTATGCTTGCATTTCAATAAATATTTCAGACAATAGGTTTTATCAGATCCTCTGTATGTGTATAAGTTAGAGATTGCAGCCAATTACGTATTTTTAATTTTGCTTCTTTCACTGAACATCGGATGATATTACATTTTGTTAATATTCTATTATAAACATAAGAAAACAAACAGTGGTGAGCGAGAAGCGAAGTAGGACTTCACGCAAGTTTGGTGTACAGTAGGGTTTCGTTTTTCCAGCAGCCTGGGATAATGCAGACTATTAATTGTGAAGCGGTGCATTACTAAGGACACCTTAAAGATGTAGTTTTCGCACAGACAGAATGTTGGTTTCCTTATATAGAGCAGTCGTAGGGTATCTAAAGGGTTTCTTAAACGTCACCTTCAGCACTGATCGTTGGGCGCTCTCGAGTGCCATTAACGCTGCCCCAGATTGAAAAAGGGATTTTTGTTTATTTGGTTGTATTTTTTTTATTGTTTGTAATCTCACGACTGTTATAAACCGATTTGGATTTTTTTTACCTAAAAGTATTCGCTTACAAATTGGTCCCATAGAAATTTCATTAAAATCGGTTCAGTAGTTTTTAAATCAAAATGACTTATTTTGCCTTAATGGAAGTTGTTTCTTTGTAGAAATTATTTACGTGTTAGAATATAAAAATTATACGTAGGTATGTAATAATTGAATTTTTAATTTATACTTAGTAAATAACCTTTTAGCTATGAACATATTATCGTGTCTTGTTCAATATCCATACACCTACTGTCGCCATAATTCGATACATTCATGACGTTGAATGTTCTCATTCAGCGTACACATTGTATGATTATAAAAAATTTCAACTTTACAGCAAAATCAATACTCCTTTTCCCAATTGTTTACATTTTTATATACACCGGGTGTGTATCTCATGGAAAGATTGCCGGACATCTATGAGAAATTTATTCGTGTAAAATAAAACAAGTATACATTAAAATAAAACAAGTATACATTTTGCCATTATCTTTATTGACAGTTAATTTCTCGTAGAGGGTACAAAATGAAAATAAAAATGTCTTATAGATAAACAAAGATTGCATTTTTATAGATACTAAGGTCGAATCTGTTTATTTTTTACAATATCTATCTAAGGGCTCCGGTTATACAGGGAAGCCGACATCTAATAAATAATATTTTTAGATCACTTATATTCCACGTAGCGTGGACACGTAGCGACCGCATCCTGAAGTATTCCACACCAGACAAGTTTCATTTGTGCTGTTCGTGTCAGATCAATTATAAGTCAGTAAGGTTAAAATACAATTTGGAATCCACTACAACAAAACATCCCTTGACTGGTTACAGTTCCGCGTCAAATTCACGAATCGCACGTGGCCGAGTTCGGCAATGTCATACCGTGATTGCTTCTGGTAAAATTGACAAGTGTCCTATAACAAATCTGCATTAAATTTTATTTTACCAGAATCGACATCGCCATATCACCAAGTCTTTCTATTTTGACATAAATATATTATATATAAATGATTTCCAAAAAAGTTTCTCGTCTCTTTATGGAATACTCGCATATACAAACACCTACCTACTTGGTAGACGTATAAGAGATACTTAGAAATATACATCTTATCTAATATAGAACAAAGTATTCTTTAAATTATAGCTCCACTATGCGGAGTTGCGCACGCGCCGGCGGGCGCGGCGCCCAAGGAACTAAACTTCAAATGAAAATACTGTTAACCTAAGGTAGTTAAAAGAAAAAACTTACAATCCCTATTATCCATACATACAACATTATCTACGCAATTCCACCCATTGTTCGAATCACGTGCTATCCCTGTCTGTCATTCATAAATTAATACTAGATTACACAGTATAGAATCTAAAAATCTTCCTAACTTTAAACTCTACTAATATTTTGGGACTACTTTTTATTTTGGACAGATCACCGCGTAAACGTTACCTAGTTTGTGTGACCGAAAATAAATGTGTACAAACTTACACCGAATACAAACGTCGTAAAATATTCAAATTCTGCGCAGTGTAAATAAAAGTATATCAGTTTATTTTTAGAAAGGCCCTAGTTAGTGCATACGATCAGAATCGACAACCGTTTGCGGGTCGAGATAGACCTCTGTGTTTTACGTAATTAAAGGGCTCGTTGCCGTTGCCGTTGCCGCAGCATCGCAGTAGTTTACGTGAAAAGGGCAGATCGTGTTTGTTTAAAATTATTTTTTCGCGCTATTCTCGGACGCGTCCATTTTCTCCTCCGTCTTGACCACTTTCCCTTCGCCTGAAATTGAAAAAGAAATAATAATTCCTTGAAATTACCCAACTTAGGCTGTTGTTGTAATTCGATATAATCAGATTGCCATATCGTCAATGAAAACGCGTGTGGCGACATCAGCAACGTAGCAACGAATAACTCGTGGCTTGCATCGCTTCACCGTCACATCGCGACGTCTCACGACTCGTCATCAAGTCTCATCATGTAAGTAGTCGTATATTATTATTATAATGCCAAACAATACATCGCCCTCATGCTGCACCCGTCCTGAAGACTAATATATACATGGTGCAAAGGACAGATTGGCCAAAATGAAAACAGCTGATTCTGATAAATGCATAATAATAGAATAATCTATTACATATTTTCTCATCGGAAACGCACCACAATTGATAATTCTTAGTTTTGAGGCCGCGCAAACGACGCGTGATACCTATAACGCGCGCTCAATGGCGCTTCTTCGTAGGTAATTTTCGTATGGTTGTAGCGTTGACCTTACGCGGTAGAGTTTTAATACGTATATTACATTGCTATTTTTTTGATATTTCATAGTATTTTACTATAAAATAAAAATATGTAAGGAATAGTGGCCGTAAACAATATTAAATGCCGTAAGTATTATAGTTTCCAAGTCAAATTAACTCTAAAAAAGGGGGTAGAGGTTTCTTCGAAGTGGACAACGCATGTGTTACTGGTATTGCAGGTGTTCATAGGCTATGGTAACCGGTTATCATCATGTGGGCCATATGCTAGTTTGCCCTCAGTGGTATAAAAAAATATAGTATGCAAGGAGTATTACCATTAGGCTGGTCTCCCTCCGTGTCGGTGTTGGAGCGCCTGCGCTTGCGGGGGAATTTCCAGCCGCCGGTCGCGTGCTTCAGTTTCGGAAGCGGCTCCATATCCAGCACCTGCCACCAGAGGGCGCACGGTTATGTACACATTACATCATTATTACAAAGGAGTGGAGATTGTTAGTAATAGAGCAATAGGAACAAGTTAGTAGTCCCAATTCTAGCAATATACTGTTAACGTGAGGTCACAAAATGGTATAGATATTAGATATCATAGAGGTTAAATTCTAGTTAATTTAGTCACAATGGGCCAAGTGGCCTGACTTTATTCTCATCTATAACTCACTAGTAACTCGCCAATGTATACGGTGGATTAAACATTGCATTTTTATACCATAAAAAAAAGAAAAACAAAATTCTCAGGTTGGTGTATTATTTGTTATGAAAACTTATTAATACTTGTATTAAATGTGCATTAAGCTATTATAATATATACCTTGTGAATCTGTCTAAATGCGATTTGTCGCAGGAACTGTTGTGCTGACGCAGTTAAATCTTCACGTTTCTGTGGGGGCAGATTGCCGAGAGCATCCTGAAACATTCATTATGAATGCTATGTGATACCATTGTTTCTGCCTACCCTAACGTGTGCATGTGTATGTTATAATGTGAATGCAATAATGGGATGTCCATCAAAATTTCATGATGTGCAATAAGTAATAAAATTTTTTTATAAAAGTGTATACGAAAAATTTATATATTGTTTACAAAAGAACTAAAATTTAATAAAAATTAGATGTTTAAGTAACATATATAGTTCTTTACACTCGAAATGTGTAACAAAGGAATGCCAACTACAATGAATACGTATTTATTGACTTTGACTACGACCAATATATATTTATTGACTGTATAATCACCAAACATTTTGGGAAACTAACCGGCTGGTGGAAATCTCTGGTAATCAGAAAGCTGGCCTATACTTTGGTCAGCACATCTTTATAGCTATTCAGCGTGGAAATGCAGCAAGTTAGCAGGTAGATGTTAGGAATTTATAAATTAAATTATACCATACTCAAGACTTTAATCGTAACCTATGGGAAATTATAGTACATTATTGCATTGCGGCCAGCAACTGAGGCATTGATGGACGAACGTGCAAATGTGGGCCGAAGCATAGCCAAAGAACACATACGTGAGTCCATCAATGCCTAGCTGTGGCCAAGCTTGTATAGTACTTTTCTCAAATAATGCGCGGAAATAAAAAATACAATTTTACTATTTAAGTCCAATGACGAATAACGAACAATAATTATTTTTCACGCGCCACAATGTTCCTTTGTTTTTTTTTTTTCAATAAACAGCTTTCAATTTGCAAGCCAATTCGAAATTTAAAACTTTGTTTTAGTTACCTCGATAGTAGCCATGTTTCGAAGTAAAAGATCATTCCATTTTTAAATTGCAGGACAGATATGAGTTTATATACGAGAAGTAATTTATCTGGCCGCAAAACACGACAGATATGGATTTTCATACAACTTTTGCCGGCCGCTGCCCGCATGTATCTGACCAGTACGGCAATTTTAAAATATCTTTAAGAAGATTGTCAAAATAATGCTAACATTTCCAAGCATGTTTGAGAAATATATATTTTCCTAATTATCTCTCATATGCAGAGGTCTGGTTATAATTTCATGAATTAGTAAAATTTGTAGTGTCAGTCCAATGTTGTATAGTGTGAGTGTGAAGTGGTAATGTGGGCGGTACTGACGACGAGCTCCTTCTCGCAGGGGTCCCGCAGGCCGGGCCCGTGGTCCAGCAGCAGGCCGCCGCCCACCGCCTCCATCACGCGCCGCAGCGCCTCGCCCGGCGACAGCGCCGCGCCCGCCGACTGCATCACGCCCGACACCAGCAGCTCCATCGCCTGCCCCACGCGTGTACCGTCACAACAACAGTAATTCACCAGCCCGAGATCGAACGAGCAACCCTTCGCCCATTCGTCTTCATTTCAACAAGCCAAGTCTTTCCGAATATAATAATATTAGTAATACGAGATTATATATTTAGAGGGCTACATTTTATTGTACTGGACACTTAAAAGATCATGAAAATAAACCAATATACTATTTGTAACATCAGCACCAGTGATTCTGTTTTCTACACTAACTTTATTAATTTTAACATTCCCCAACATACAAGAATATCAAATTGAAGTATCTGATTTAATGCCCTTATATGATATTAAAGTATTTTGAGAATACAGTTCGCATGCAGACCCCAAATAAAATGTTAGTATTAAAACCAATATGCCAATAGATGAACATATAAAACGTCAACTCACATATGGGTTGAGCGGCGTCCAGTTGGGTATGCGGCGGCAGAGGTCCCTCATGATGCGGATGATGATGACGCAGGACTGCAGGCTGGCCGCCCTAGCCTACGCACACACAGTGGTCAGCGGCGGCCGGCAGCCGCGCCGCTGCGGCGCGGGCGCCCGATTTATTGCTCCACTCTCAAACTCAACCTCAACGATTACTCGATTCAAAAGTTAACAAGGGATTACAGTTACTGAAGCGGAAAGAAACAGAGCAATAAATGTGAGTCGCTCTTTGGGGGGCAGGTATAGTCTAAAACTGCGTTTCCGGACGCATCGCTGATCCTCCCATCACCGGCTACCAAAGTGCGGGAAACGCAGCTTAGTCCACGAGAAGCACTCGTAGCCACATGTTCATGGGAGTTCAAAATTCGAATGTTACAACTTGTTAAAAACTTAAAAGGCTACGTTATATTTTATAAAATAAAAACAAACATGTGACTAAGTAAAAGGTGCGCGCTCCCAAGTAAAATATTGTTAAAAGTTGGTAATGTATCGGATAGCGCGGCTGGCGGCGGGAGCGCGCCCGGTGATAATGTGGCGAATGTACCTGGAACCACTTGGCGTGCCGAAGGGCGGCCAACGCGTCCAAACACTTCTGCCGCGGTAGCACATCCTTGTCGTCCCGCTTTATGTCGCCACCCTCTAGCGACAACAACACAAAGGGTGTTTGACCATCAAAACATCGACGAAAACGGGGCAAACATTGTACATGGCCTAGACGGCGACGGGCCCGGCGCCGCGCGGCGACGCGACCTTGTGCCGCGGCGAGTCGCGGCGAGTCGCGGCGAGTCGCGGCGAGTCGCGCCGCCGCCGGCGCCGGCCGCGGCCGCCCGCGCCGGCGGGCCGCCAGGGGGCGCGGCGACCCGCCCTCCGCTTCCCACCGAGCGGCCGCCGTGGCCGTCATACTCACTACCATATATATTCTATGTATAAAACGTAGCATCGTCCTACGTACATTTACATTTGACAAGTATAGCGACGGAAAAATATACATAAATATATACATAAAATATTAATTGGACGCTATGTTTGCTCCGTTTCAGTAGATTGAATATACCACTGCGGAGTCTAAGCGCACGCGCACGTGATATATAGATGATCAAAAATCCTTTTCTTCTCGCTGCTCGTCTAACCCTAATCACACCTAAAAATAAGCACTCAACACAGTGCCCGGCCGGGCGTAACTTTGAACAAATTATCTTTTTTTTTTTTTATTACACAACACAGTATGCAAAAACAAAAAAATATATTCAGTAAAATATATTTGATAAACATATAATATATAGAAATACAGTATAATTATTCCCTTATTAGATAGTTTGTTCTGGTTCGATCGTACGGGAATATTACTGACGATTCGACAACCAATTTCATCCGTGCATCGTTGGGTACAATCATCAAAACAATGGTAGAGCAGCACAGAGCTGAGAACAACACAGAAACTGTAGGTACATGCAGTAGTACCGCAGAAATAAGCTCCTGTCACACCCCACGTGGTAAGGTCACACAATATTTATTAATTATCAACAGATATATCAAGACACATAATGTTCAATGACTAGTACTCAATCGTCATTTACTGTTCAACATATCCTGAATGTTTTCTAATGAGAATAATATACAGTGGCGCCGCCATTTCTGCGGTATTTCGGCACGGGTGAGCTTATGAGTGAAATTGGCTGCGTCGAGATCGCGTCGAGCGTACGGCGGACTCACCTGCGGGCTCGCGCATGACGGCCGACGTGAGGCTCACCAGCACGTTGATGGACCCGTCCGACACCTGTACGGCGCCCTCTGCCGGCAGCAGTTCCACTTTATACTTCGTATCGTCGCCGGGGGCCTGCCCATGTATACATAGCTTCATGCCACTCCTCGCATATTTACAATTTTCGCCGAATATGACTAACAGCAACCCGACTAATGATAAGCGATTACTAAGTGACTGGATATTTAATTACACTTTTTTTTTTTATACAATTTAGAATGGCAAACAAGCTGACGGCCCACCTAAAGGAAAGTGGTAACAGTCGCCTATAGACATGAGCAGTACCATGGACATAACAGTGTATACTGTTTCGCCCGTGATACCCCTCATGCGTTGCCATTCCTGAGGACTTAGATATTATTCCTCTGTACCCAGTAAATTCACGCCATATCCCACCCTTCAAACCGAAACACAGCCATGCAAACACAGCTGCTTCACGGTTGAAACACGAATGGGACAGAGGTACCCAAGCAATCGACTTTTGTACAAAGTCTCCTTCTGGTGATGGTGGTGGTGATACACTACCCAGTATATGGAACAATAGTTATGCTAAGATAGTTGCTTGAAGGGAGAAATAACAGTAAATAGTTCTGAACAATTATCACACAGTGTCATCTATCCAAAGAGAATACTTGTATGTTTATTCTATTATATCAAAGTCGATATTTATAAATATTGAGACAGTAAGAAATGTATCAAAGTTACAGCTTCTGATATTAGATGTTTATACATATTTTAAAATTACATCTAATATATAAAATTCTTGTGTCGCGATGTTTGTTATAAAACTCCTCCGAAACGGCTTTACCGATTTTCATGAAATTTTGTGTGCATATCGGGTAGGTCTGAGAATCGGCCAACATCTATTTTTCATATCCCTCAATGATAGGGGTGACCCACTCCTAAATATTTTTTGACAATATTTTTTATTTTATTATGATTTTGCATTGAAAAATACATACAAATTAAAATTTTCACTTCCGGACTTTACTTCCGGAAAGAAATACTGATGTTAGAGAACCGCTCGATCTAGTGTGTTGAAGCCAAGAGAAATTATGTAGAAAAATAAAAATATTTGTTAACTTAAAATAGCAGTGTTTCCAATAAAATATTGCTATTTTAAGGTAGTTGACAATTCAAACCGAGAAGTATTCACCTTAGGCTCGTAAAATATAAAGAAAAAAAAATCAACAACTAAACAGGGTCAGTGTTCCGCGGTGTTAAGCCAGCGTAATAACTGACTGGCGTAATGGTGACTGAACTGCAAATTGCATACAACTTGACGTATCGGCGTTCTACAGCAGATCGTCTAATTACGATAGCTAACTTTATGCCGATATAAATATAGGTATAGTCACGAATACAAATATCTGTTACGTACGGTGGTGGTGTCTTCAAACTGTTACATCATGTAGGTTGTTAAAAATGCGACACAAACAAGATGATAAAAATGTCTTTATATCCGTTACTATTGTGACGCTGCATTATTTTGGCACCGGCTACTTTTACGTTTAAATATTTCTTTTAACACACACTTCTGTTTAGTTTTCAACATTCACTGAAATATTTGCAAATTTATGTTTTAATTTGAGAAATGATATTTATAACAAAATTTGTGTATAAATTTGATGTAAATGTTGCATAGTGTGTGTGTGTGTGTGTGTGTGTGTGTGTGTGTGTGTGTGTGTGTGTGTGTGTGTGTGCGTGCGTGCGTGCGGGCGGTCGTACCTTGACCTTGGCGAGGTGCGCGGGCAGGTCGGTGGCGACGCGCTTGAGCAGCGTGACGGTGGGGCGGTCGTGGCACAGCACGACGAGGCGCACGTCGCGGTCGCCGCGCAGCAGCAGCCCCTTGGCCAGCAGCCCCACGCGCATCACGCCCTTCAGCGCCCGCGGCCCGCCCGCCGCCGCCGCCGTCCCAGCCGTCCCCGCCGTCCCCGCCGTCCCCGCCCCAGCAGCCGCCGCCGCCGCGCCCTCCGCGCCGCCCGCCGCCGCCTCGCCCTCGCCCACGAACGAGAACCTGCGCACGCACGGCTTTATATAGACGCGGACCGGCACCCGCCTGCGACCACCGCGCGCCCGGTACACTCCATGCATCCTTGCCTGAAACCGGCTTTCCCTCTGACCCCAATAATCTCTAATAAATTTCTGATAAATTTCTAGGATTCTAATAAATTTCTAGGATTAACAATAAATTCTAAATTGACATGGAAAGAACAAATAGAAAAGGTATGTGCAAAGATTAAAAGATTCCCTTTTGCACTCTACAAATTAACCAAGATAGCCAATAAAAATACTGCTATTACAGCATATTTTTTATATGTTGAATCCATGATTAGATATGGATTGCTACTTTGGGGTAATGGCGTTGATGTTGGGAAAATTCTAGTCGCGCAAAAAAGTTGTATACGTGCTATATGTAATATTGCACCTGATGTTTCTTGTAGGCCTTATTTTAAGTCTCTAAATATATTACCTGTTCCCAGTCTGTATATACTTGAAGCAGGTATATTTGTTAAATTGAATAAGCACATGTTTACAGAAGCAAAAGAGCAAATACAAAGAAGCGCAAGATACCCTAAAAAATTAGTGACCAATACAATTCCTAAAACTAGCCGTTTATTAAGAAATTCCTATATGATGTGTTTGAAAATCTTTAACAATATACCTACGGATATAAAGGAACTTCCATTAAATAAATTTAAAATTGTGTTACGTAAATGGTTACTTAGCAAAAGTTTTTACTCTGTTGACGAATTTTTCAAGAAAGAATAGATAAATATCTAATATAGTTGTCGATGCATAAATTAAATTAATCAATTCCTGTCAAAATGTGACATTTGCATGCTATTCTGTAATGGCTAAATAGGCACGAAACTTTATGTAATGTAAGACCACCGATACATACCCTATTTAAAGCAAATAAATTTATTATTATTTTTAAATTTTACCAAAATTCTCATCTCCCCTCTTAAGGAGAGGAGATGGCAACTAACCCCCGGCAGAAGCACAGTCGGCCGGGGTTCAGGGCCCCAGGGAGAGAAACCGGCGTACAATGCGGGCAGAATCTAAGAGCACCGCTTTCTGCATCTTTCCCGGGAGTGAGCCGCCTCGGAATCCCAACCGTCTGAGATGTTGTTCCAGACTGGTTGGGATAAGACCGTTCACCGACATAACGATTGGGATGATTTCGGTAGATGTCACCCCCCACATTTCGGTCACCTCGTGAGCCAGGTCGAGATATTTTCTCTTCTTCTCGGTTTCGGCTTTCACGAGGTTCTCGTCATGCGGTATGGTGACATCCACCAAAAACACCCTCGAAAGTGCCCGGTCCATCACCACGATATCAGGTTTGTTCGCAAGAACAGTCCTGTCCGTGATGATGGATCGGTCCCAGTAGAGCCTGACGCTGTCGCTTTCGAGGACCGGCTGTGGCTCGTACTTATAGTACGGCAACCTCTCATTCGCGAGGCCGTACTTCAGAGCTAGCTCTTGATGGAGTATTTTGGCTACCTGGTTGTGCCTGTGCAAGTACTCTGTGTTGGCAAGAGCTGAACAACCCGAAAGCACATGTCTGAGTGACTCTCCAGGATGGCGACATGCTCGACAGATGTCCTCAGTGCCATCCTTCAGAATGTGCTTTCGGTAATTGTTCGTCTTAACCACCTGATCCTGTATTGCACAGACAAAACCCTCGGTCTCTCCGAAGAGATCACCGAACTGTAGCCAGTGCACGGAGGTCTTCGTGTTTACGTACGGCCCGTGAAGGGCTTTGAAGAACCTTCCGTGCAACTCCTTCTCTTTCCATACGGCCTCCCGCTGAGAGGTACCCAAAACTTCGGGTTTTCGCCAGTCCTCTTTAGCCAGAGAAAGAGGGTGAATCCTTTGTCACATTCTATGACTTCTCTATGCAAACCCTCGTCTCTTTTCTCCAGAAAATATGTCCTGAGGCTGTCAATCTCGCGGTTGTGCATGGTCTTAACGCTTAACAAGCCTCGACCACCAGCTTTCCGCGGGATATACAGCCTCATGACTGACGATTTCGGGTGATGCATTCTATGGAGGGTCATAGTTGTGCGGACTTTCCGATCCAGGGCTTCGAGTTCGGTTTGAGACCATCTGAGCACGCCAAAAGTGTAAAGGAGTACGGGTATGACCCAGCCGTCATAAGCTCGGATTTTATTGGCGCCCGACAAAGAACTTTTCAGTACTCTTGTAAGGCGCGCAAAAAATTCCTCGCGGACTGACTGTTTCATATCCGTCTCCTTCACACCGATGTTTTGTGACATGCCCAGATACCGGTATGTTTCAGCCTCGGAGAGGGTTTTAATATTAGAGGGATCTGTGGCGATCCCTTCAGTTTGAGTGACCCGTCCCCTCTGCACATGGAGGACCGCGCACTTGTCTATTCCGAGCGCCATCCTAATAGAGCTGCTATAATCGTTTACGATATTTAGCAGCTCCGTCAGGCGTTCGACGCTCGGAGCTAGCAGTTTCAAGTCATCCATGTACAGAAGGTGAGACACTCGTGTACCTCCTCTCCGATACTGAAATCCAGTCCCCGAATTCTCCAGTAAAGTACTGAGTGGATTCAGGGACAGGCAAAACCAAAGTGGACTCAAACAATCGCCCTGGAATATTCCTCTCTTTATCTCTATCCGGTCAGCGGTATCCGTCAATCGCTCGCCCTGGATAGTCAGGATCGTCGTCCACTGCCTCATGCATCCCTCCAAGAACACTCGAACTGTACCGTCGATCTTGTACAGCTCGAGTATCCTCCGGAGCCATGAATGGGGCACGGAATCGAACGCCTTTTTATAATCTATCCAGGCGGCGGAGAAATTCCGACGGTTCCGCTTGACCACGTGCCCAGCGACAGCATCAATGAGGAGCAGCTCCTTCGATCCGCGGCTACCGCCCCTGCATCCGTTCTGAGCGCTAGATAGGATCTTATTCTCGTACACATGACGAGAGATCTTAGCGCTCAGAACGGATGTTAACGTCTTATATATTGTCGTAAGACAAGTGATGGGGCGATATTTAGATGGATCCGCGGTATCGTCCGTCTTAGGAGCTAAATGAGTGATCCCGGTTGTAAGGAAGTTCGGGAGCGTCCTGTTTTCGAGGGCACTCTGGAATTGCACGGCTAAGGTCGCATGGCTGGCCGAGAACGCCTTTAACCAGTAGTGCTGCAATCCGTCGATCCCCGGACTTTTCCAGTTCGGAGCCCGACGGATCGCGGCAACCACGTCTTCCTCCGTAATGGCAATGGCGTTCATCGGCGTTATTCGAGCACATGCTTCCTCAACATCGTGCATCCATGCGCCCTCCTCATGTTCCACAGGTTCAGACCACAGCTGTCTCCAGAAGGCGACGAAATTGGCTGTTTCGGGTCTTTGTCCTGTGGGCTGTAGTTTTGGGCGCTCCAAGTTCCTATAAAACTTCCGTTGATCACTCATAAAGAGGCGATTCTGTTGATACCTCTCAACCCTCTCAGAGTACCGTCGGAGTCGCTTCCCCCATGCAGCGATCTTCTGCTTCAGTTCATCTATGCGCTCCGTAAGTTTGTGCCCGAAGTCCGGCTGGAACAGACGTACACCTGTCCCAGCAAAGGCCTCTTTTACGGAGCGCATAATTCTCGGGCGTGTGTTGCCCTCCCTGAAGCAGAGCAGTCTACCAATGAGGACTCTGGCCTGGGCGATCCGTCGTTCAATCCTTCTTTTCCAGGCTGGTTTCATATTATCCCTTTGGATATTACGTCCAGCCCGGGGCATTTTTGCGCCGGTATATCGGCATACTGCCAACGCAGCGCCAAACAGGATTGAACTCGTCTCTCCCAGGTCACCGCTGCCCTCAAGGTACTGGGGCAGCAGTCCATTTGTGGCCTCAATGGCATCCCGCGTCGCCACATTTGGATATATCCGGGGAAGCTTCGGTCTCTCTTCGAGGGGAGTTCTTCGGATCTCTAGAATCGCCTCCTCTAGTATGCTCCTCATATGCTCTATATCCTGGGAAGTTGTTCCGTCCGCATCCGCTTCTGAAAGCGTTTCGGCAACCACCTCTACGCTAGGTAGCACGTCTGAGATGGGTTGCTCTACGGTCGCGGAGTTTGCTTCTGGAACAACTTCACTTCGCAATCGTTCGAGTTCGGTCGCGCTAAACATACCAGAGCGCTGTATGTACCGAACTCTGTCGGCTAGGTTCTGTTCCGAGACGGTTAGATCCGGTAAAAGACGCAGAAACTCGCGGTGCATTACTGCCCGGTATCCTGTTCTGCCTGTTTCTGTCCCTGTAGCCCTGAAGAACGCACGCATGAGGTCCTCATTCATGGCTCTTGTCCACCTCATGCGACGTGTACCACCAGTGGCGGGCACCGATTGCTGGGCCTGTGACGGCCCTGCCGGCGCCAAGCCAGCTGATGTCGATGGCGAGGGGTCGGACCGGCCAGGTGGTGGGGCCGGTCGGCTGGCTCGCATTCTGCCGCGCCTACCGCCAGTTGTAGACGCGCCCCGGCGACCCCCGGGCAGCGACCCTATACTCTCTCCGTTATTATTATTCGCCATCTTTATTTTTGCCATTGCCCCTTTAGCCGCGTAGGTTTAATTTATACGCGTGACCGCCTTCCACGTGAGCTAGATGGTAAGCTCGGACGCGGGGTTGGACTTTGGAAGGCTTATTATTATTATTATTAATTATTATTATTAATATATTTCACTCTTCAAACCGAAACACAGCAAGACTCAGGTATCGAGCTGGTTGACAAAAAATCAAGTGCCAACGGAGATAAACAGATCTCTAATAAACATCAGTTTCATATGTTAACATTACCCTTATATTAATAAAACCATTGATTTAAAAAATATATCTATCCCATTTTAGACCCACAATTTTTTAAATAAAAATACATTCAATGAATCCACTTTCTGTGCAAAAACACAAACATTCATCTAGGATTATTAATCAATGGAAACAACCACTAAACATTGTCTTTTTTCAAACTAGCATATTAGTAAAATATAAACAAGATCTATCAGAATTCAAATAACATTCATTTCATTAGTTGTGTAACAAATTGTTAATTAAATTCTAACAAATAAAACAACAATAATTAAAATGTAATCACCAAATCGAGATATTTATACGAGTATATATTAACATTGAGTATTGGCATCGTTAGGTAGATGTAATTAGGCATAATGAAAAATTTGTAATATATGAAACGATTAGGCGACCAACATTAGGCGGACACTGCATTCTATACGATTACTGCAACTAAAATAACGACTCGCATCGCATTTGAACATACTCCAATTATTCGAGAACGTCATAAATCATTCAAATTGTACTACCTATTACTAAAGCCCAATAAGCCAACACTAGATAAAATAAAAACTACATACATCGTACTTTCAAATTATCTGCCAGAAATTTACCACTTAATTATTATTCTACCACTATCTTGGTATCATAAAATCCTTGATTTCTAACTATATTCATCTGCAAAAATGTTAAATGTATGAAAAACTAACTACACACTATGATTATTGCTTCTACTTAGTTGAACTTCTACAGTATTTGGTATTTTAATGAACATTTTTCTAATTTAAGCAACATAATGTACTAATAAAACTATTAATACTAGCAACCACGAGAATTTTAATTGTGTATGTATTAATACATTGTTAATATATGTAAAAACATTTGGAAAATTGATGAAATAAAAAAAAATACATAAAAAATATAATAAAATCCTAATTATTGCAAAACCTAGAAGAGAAGAGCTCTTACTTGGATGTTGAAAATTTAATCAATATAAAAAAAATAAATGCTTAGGGTTAAGGAAAAGAGACAAATTATTAGAACTATTGAGGACAGAAGGGGACAAATGTTAGGACACTTGATACGACACGACGAACTTGTGAACATTATAATAGAAGGTAAGATATAAGGAAGGAGGAGAAGAGGGAGACTGAGGCATAGTTACATCAGGCAGATCAAGGAAGGAGTTGGTGTCGTGTCGTATCAAGAGGTGAAGAGACTCGCTGAAAATCGTAGTGAGTGGCAAGAGCTCCACCGACAAGAGCGCAGCTTCTTAAATGGATAGATGGATAGATAAAAAAAAATGTCCTCGACAAAATTTCTTATAAGTTAATCAGAGACATTATGCAACTATAATGATGCAAATAACTCAATAAGTATAATTTAATTAGAATATATTATTACCATAAACTTATTTATTTATTTAACATTCTCATTTATTTAAATTCTCGTAATGACCAGTTCAATGTTATGATCATCAAAAATTTTGCCACAAATATTATGAATCATCCATCTCGACTCACGTTCTATCTCTATCTTCATACTCAATTTTCTCTCTTTTCACTTCAGGTAGCATGTAATTATATTTGTGCTGCATGCTGTTTTCAAATACCATAAAATGCTTTACAAAACAATACAAAACAAGCGCAAAAAAATAATGTCACAACATTAATATATATATAATATTGAAGTTTGCTGATTTGCAACTTTAGCAAATAAAAAATATTTGATATGTTGCATATTATTAACACTGTTAAATTATTGTAGGGCGAGCCATTCATGAATGCTTTGTTATTTACTAGTTTATATAATAACAAAGGAAATATTGATAAGTGTTAATAAATTTTATAGATGGTTTCATCTCAAATTACCATTCTACCTCAAACAAGTGATGGTTCAGTGATTTATTAATTCTTTTGTAATAATTTAGTTGCAAACAAAAGATTTATAAAAGGATGCATGTTAAAGCATTAACAATTTATTCACTCCTGCGTATAATGAAGCGGTTTCAGCGGTAAAACCAATGGACGACTGCTAAGCTATTAATAGATAATCACACACAACATCAACCAGTAACAAGAGCCGCTCATCACGGCATCGCGAGAACGCCAATCATAGCGCAGGAGAAATTTACATGACCTTTCAGGTTTTCAAAATTGGAACTGACTCGCAAAACAAAACTTCAACGCATAACATCAAATTTATATTACATCAACGCTTCAAATTATTATCTATTTTATTTACCCTAGTGCCATAAATCGCTTCAAATACTAGGTGTATTTATTCATCATCATCATCATCAATGCATTATATTCTGATAATTGCAATAAAATTAATATTAAACCAACATGATAGTACTATTTATTGTAAAATTAATTAATTAAATCAGTTTAGAACTAATAAGCGTATCCCATATAATATCCACAAAAATATAAATACAAATTAAATATTTTCCTCTTTGCCTAGAAATAAAACAAAAAAAAAGAAAAATACTCACAACTGATTGTCACGGCCATCTTCCTTCCCTTCAGGTTTGTCATCTTTCTTGTCATTTTGTGCTTTATTTCCAGCCTGTGCCTATAAACAATGAATGCAAAATTTTATTCAATACATGTGACATGTGACAGTGACACATGTATACACCGGATTATGATAAAAGAACTAATATTAAAATCTATAAACATCATCATCATCATCACATCAGCTTTTAACTGTCCACTGCTGAACATAAGTCTCCCCCTAAGGGGTTTTGCCAGTAATTGCCAAGATTAGAAGTAGTACTTGACAACTGCAATTAGATTTTGGAGATGTTTTAAGAGGAATGCTGCTACTAATCCCTCTCTCTCCGTTAGTCGCCTCTTACAAAAAGGACAGGGGGTGGCCTATTCTATGGTGGGCCACACAGGAACCTATACATATATATAATATATAGGAACATATACAGGAACCTATATATTATAAACATATATATTGTAACAAATTTCATTTACAAAATTTTAGTAAATACATGAATATTCTATTATTTTATAAACCTAACAGATATTACAGTCATCAATCGACTCAATATTTAAAACTGGTATAACTTGGTGCTGTGACCAGCATTCAGTATGATATACAATATTATAAGACAGTACTTTTTAAGATCTTTTTGCAAATAGCTGGATTTAAAGCGACAAGTATGTCTATAAACTGATATTTCCACTGTTTATAGTGGTTTGAGCGGTTTCAGATATGTTTTCTCCCACGAACACTCGGGTTGTGGAATGAGCTCCCTGCCGAGGTTTTCCTAAGAGACTACAGCATGGGGTTCTTCTAAAGAGGGGTAAAGAGGTTTCTTCGGGGTCGGCAACGCACGCGTAATACCTCTGGTATTGCAGGTGTTCATAGGCTACGGTAACCACTTACCATCAGGTGGCCCGTATGCTTGTTTGCCACCTCAATGGTATAAAAAAAAGTGTAGAAATTAAAGCAAATAGATTACATGTCGTACCTTAGGGCGCGCATGGTCGGCGAGTGCGTCGGAGAGCGACTTGAGCGCCTTCTCGGTGTGCGACACGACGCGCTGGATGTCCTGCAGCTGCTGCTCGGGCGGGTAGATCTCCGCGTGCTTGGCCACCACGTGGCGGTCGTCCGACGTCTCGGGCCGCCGCCCCACCGGCCCGTACGGCACGCCCATACCCTGTGCCATCAACCACGCTCACTCCTAGTAATAACCCTAAGCCCCACTATACATTCAATTCATAAATGAAAAGCATTCGGGAGTATTAATTAAAGGTTTTTAATGCTGTATATCTAACATATTGTATATTTAGGGGGGAAAGGGATTGTTAGTAATGGAGACTGAGAATCCCATTGCTAGCAATATACCCAACCAGGTCGACCTCCTCACTGTTCCCCCTGGATACTATCATGGTTAATTCCTGATGAATTCTTCATGATGGGCTAACTGGCCTGTTTTCATTCTCATCTATCACCCTTCACTGGTGCTCCGCCAGCGTATCCCGTTAGCGCAGGCGGGGTTACCAAACCATTATCACCCATCAAAAAAAATTGTATATCTATATATAAGATATATATTACATATACAATCTAAAAAAATAACTAACGTATATCTAAATGCAAATCTATATCATTGCATTTAAAATTCAAAACAGAAAAAAGAAAATTGTTCCAAAGTGTTATAAATTTTGAATGATTCATTAGACATTTATAAATCCTAAATGAGACAAACTCAGCTCAGTACATTGCGTGCTTGGACACTTCCCAAATGATAAAAAAAAATGTGTATCGTTATTCGAAAACAAGTTTTATTTTAGAGGGAATTCGGTTCTTCAATTGATATTAGCTGATATGGCAAATAACATACATGATGGTGATGATGATGGTGGGGCGGCAACGGTCCACGTGGCCACCACGGTTCCATGCCTCCCTCCCAGTACCCGCGCTCCTCCTCCTCCATACCCTGCTGAACAAACCATATTATATATTCATTCACTACAACATTTAGTTGGTGCTTTTTTCATATGTTTGACATAGAAAGTATTCCCATAAGCCTTGCGTAAAACTTTGTCACTAGACTAACCATTTCACCCAGTTGCCCACTGATTTGATCTTCTTACATTTGGTAAGTGGTGAGCAATACCATATAATACAGATGAGTAGTAGTTTGAAGGGTGGGATATGGCGTGAATTTACTAGGTACAGAGGAATAACACCTGAGTCCTCAGGAATGGCAACGCATGGGAGGTATCATGGGCGAAACAGTATACCCTGTTATGTCCATGGTAATGCTCATGTCTATATAGGCGACGGTTACCACTTTCCATCAGGTGGGCCGTCAGCTTGTTTGTCATTCTAAATGGTATAAAAAAAATCTAAGGTGCCATATTGAAATTTGTTACAATTGTGTACTATGTAAGCAGTGAAAAAACTATCTTCATAAATAATTTAAATATAATATTCCAATGTCTGAGAGAGGCTTATTTCACATATTTTACACTAAGCAATGATGTTCATCTTTAAATCTACATACAAGTTACGATATTGCTTACTTCGTGCATACGGCGACGTGCCCAGATCTCATCGCGGACCAGAAGCCGCTGAGCCTTGGCCTCTGCCAGCTTGCGCTGGTGCATCGACGGCTTCACTTTCACCTCCAAGTCCGGTTGTACCTGCGCGCCACGACTCACATTTTTTATTTACATCTCGGTACAACAACACTGAGGTGACAGCAGTGTGGTAACCTCATCAAAGATTGTAATCATGCGGCGCCCGGATCTCTTGGCAGCCATGAACGGCCGCCAGGCTCGACGGGCGCCTCAAACCTTTTACTAAATAATCATTGGGTCTTATTCTAATAAAGAATTTAATAAAAAAAATATTTTCCTAAATATAATAGAATGAACTATTTAACTAGAGATAAGATGCAGACTTCACCATACCATATTTCTTTTTAATGTCCAATGTTTGTTTAAACCATTAGGCGAGATTATTAACCCTCTAACCGCGTATTTTTTTTTTCACAACACTAAAACACATCCGCTTTGACTACAAATAGCAGTTCGAGTATTTAGCAATCTAGCGAGATTCTGAAATACAATATCAATCTACCAAAAACAAAAATCGCGGGATAACAACGTCAATAAACATAAAAAATGCGAGCACGTCGAAATCGCGAGATGCGTAAAGTTAAACTAGTAGATACTGCAAGCCAATGTACCGTTTGTATCCTTCTATAACCTGAGAGAAGACCTAACATTTAATACTCTTACACCCCATGATACTTCATATATATGCAATAAGTAGGCTGAACTGAAATATAAAAGTTAAGCACATACCTTTTTCTTGTACTGGAGCCGGTGGCGGCGGCCCTTCATATGCATCTCCTTGGCGTTGGGGTCATTGAACTTGCAGTCGCAGAGTTTGCAATTAAAGCTGAGCGCCTTGCCGTCATCGCCGCGGATTTCCTCGATGTAGTCCTGCCCCACCGGCTGCACTTCGGGCTCTGTCTCGCCCTCGTCCTCCTTCTCGTCTCCCTCCTTGTCCTTGTCGCCTTGGGGTGGTTTTTGTTCTTTGGTCGATGTGCTCGCCACTGTACTAAGCCCCCCCGAAGCCACGAATGCGATCTTGGGCGTCCCGGCTACCGTCTTTTTGGCTGATAGATTGGAAAAGTCAAATTTCCTCTTAGTGACTGCCAAACAAGTCGGACGGTTGTTGCGACAACAATTACACTGAGCCTTTTCTACAAAACTATCTTTCGATTTTGGAATTTTGAGATCGCCTCTATTTTCAAATCGTACCAATCGGGTCCGTTTCGGTATAAAAAAGGCCCATTAGACTCGCACATACTCCATATCTGTACCGTGTGCCATAATATTATACTTTCGCTACTTTTCGTGGAGAAAATTTGACTGGTACAACAATCTAACTGCCAACTCGTCGCGGTCGTGATACAGATATGATATTGTGGCATCAGGGGGGATCAGCACAGATGCGGGTCATCGGTCACAAATATGTTCTCCATACGACGTCGGTGCCGCTGGAGAGCATATCTGATACATACTCAACGAAAAGGAAACTACGACAACTGTGAATGAGTAAGATACGATATGTAAAAATAAAATAGAATAAAATGATCAGTGGGAGGAAAAAAAATTATTAAAAGATTGTTAAGAAATAAAAAATAATTGAGAGTGCAGTAAAATCAGTTGTAAACTAGTGATGTAATGGTGTGGAGGTGTAGAACGCTCACCACCGCCGAGCTTGGTGGGCTCCGTGGAGGGGATGGGCTTGCCGAGCATGGTGTGCAGCTTGACGACCTTCTGGTGCTTGATGCCGCGCACGTGCGCCGCGTACGCGTCGGCGCCCGTGCACGTCACGTCGCACAGCTCGCAGCGCAGCGCCGCGCCGCCGCCCGCGCGCCCCGCGCCCCCGCCGCCCCCAGCACCGCCCGCGCCCCCGCCCGCCGCCGCCAGCTTCACCGCCGCCTCCTTCTTCTTGTGCTTCTGCCCCTCCAGGTGCTCCTTGTACGTCTACCGACACGCCACAACCCGCCCACTCGTCACACAGTACACTCACTTGCTACTTTGTGCCGACCTTTGATCATTGTATTGCCTACAATATGCTACTCTCAAACCCTTTGTACAAATCGGTCCGTCGACATACCGCCACAGAACACTAACGACCGGAGTCTGTTCGATCATCAGCGCGCTGACCTCCAATCACCGTCACGAGCATTCAACGTGAATTATCGTCCAAATGTAGCGGACATAAGAGAAGACATGCAATTCGGAATTACCTATCTTCCCTCAATACAAAAATCCATGTAACGACAACTAAACAAACACCGGTCGTAAACATTCCACGAGGTCAACCACCATAATGACTCATTTTCCGCACAGAGGAACAGCCAGTAGTAAATTATAAACAATTACATTTCATTGCCCAAAATATGCGACCAAAATTCGCTCAAATGTAGCTCTAGCGTAACGGTACATGTTACCAGCCTATTTCATTCTCAGGATGTAAATTACTACATCCTGAGAATGAAATAGGCTGGAACAAAATACAATACACAAATTCAAATAAAAAAAAAAAAAATCGAAATAAAAGTAAGCCATAATAACATAAAAAGCCACCAAAGCAATACAATAAGAGGAAATTAATATATTTCCTCATAACAAAAGGCCCCTAACAGTAGTAAGAAATTATTAAATTGTTAAAATTTATACACCCAATTAAAATAGATTTAATCTATTTTGTTTATTGTCGTCAAGATACCAAAACCTAACTTTATAAATGAAATATCGGTCATTTCTAACACTAATCATACTTTTAATTATAAGTTTTACCACATAGACCTAAAAGGTCTTATTTTAATATTAGATACTAAGATAAGCAAAATCCATACAAAAAAAATCACTGTAAAAGATATAAGACATCTATAAGACATACCTGAGGACCAGCACAGGATATACGACAGACGTCGCAGTAATGCAACTGCTGGGCCTTCGGCGGCGGCTTCGGGCGTCGCTGTTGCCCGGCGCCTACTCCACCTTTATTATAATTCTTCCAACCACTATATAACAAAACATAAACTATATAAAACCAAATAACATCACCTTCATATGATTTTTTTATACAATGATCGCTCTCAATTTATTTGAGCCAATTTCAATAAAAAAAAAAAATTATTGAGGTAAGTTACTTACAGGAAAAATAAGGAATATAAAAATACTTACCGTCTGGAAAATATTTTCACTTATTTCTTTTACCAATTAAGCTGAATAGAATAAATAAAATACAAAGGATGTTGCTTATAGAGAGGGTGCTTATATAGTGTTCTCTGTATATGCTTTTTAAAAATATATAAACTCACCCTCCTCCTCCAGTCTTATTTTGCTGCGCAACGTACATTGTCGCTGCGTTATACAATGCTGTGTCGTACGCAGTATTGCCTCTGTTTGCAGATTCTATATCAACAAAACAAATATCAGTTCAGTATGTTTACAACATTCAATACACAACAAATATAAATGTTAAAATGATTCTCCGTGTGGTCCCAGCATAGATTAAGCCATCCCTTCCTTTCCATAGGTGTTGTAAGAGGCGACTAAGGGAGGATAAGGGATGGGCAGCAATGTCCCTCTTTAAACGTTTTTAAAAACCTAACTGCGATTGCCAATCTGCCTGCCAAGTGTGGCAATTACTGCAGTGAACAGGATGATATTATGATATATGTTAAAGCTAGAAGAGAGATATAAGGATCATTATTATATCGGTTAATAACTGTCGATTGTTAAAAATAGGCATCTCCCATAAAGTGGATTTTGCCAGTAGTTACCACATTTGGCAACTGCAACTAGGACTGATGTTTTTTTTTTTATTTGATGGGTGAAAATGGAATGGTAACCCCGCCTGCGCTAACGGTATACGCTGGCGGAGTACCAGTGAAGGGTGATAGATGAGAATGAAAACAGGCCAGTTAGCCCATCATGATGAATTCATCAGGAATTAACCATGATAGTTTCCAGGGGAAACAAGGGATGGACCTTGTTGGGTATATTGATAGCAATGGAATTCTCAGTCTCCATTACTAACAATCCCTTTCCCCCCAGTTCTGGTGATGTTTCCAGTGGGACGCTGCTGCCCATCCCTCACCCATTAAGTTTCCTTAGCCTCCTCTTACGACACCCACAGGAAAGGAAAAGGTAGCCAATTTTATGCCGGGACCACACCTGAGAATCATATTTTAGATGAATACAAGTCGCCAGGATTACTGTACTCACGCTTGGGCGGCTGCGCGGCGGGCGCGGTGTAGGGCTGCGCGGGGTAGGAGGCGGCGGCCGTGGTGGCCGTGTGCGAGTGCGTGTGCGTGTACACGCCGCCATAGGCCTTGGCGCCGCCGCCCGCGCGGGCGCCGCCCTGCACCACGATTGTGTTCTACGACTCATTATAGATGCACAGTACAACAACCATCAACTTCAATACAATATTTGTTTTGTTTTGTTTTATACAACTTAAAATGGCAAACAAGCTGACGGTCCACCTGATGGAAAGTGGTAACAGTCGCCTTTAGACATGAGCAGTAGCATGGACATAACAGAGTATACTGTTTCGCCCATGATACCTCCCATGCGTTGACATTCCTGAGGATTCAGATGTTATTCCTCTGTACCCTGTAAATTCACGCCATATCTCACCCTTCAAACCGAAACACAGTCATGCAAACACAACTGCTTCACGGTGGAAACGTTTTAATGACAAACTTCTCATAAAAACAATATTCAGCTTTATTACAGTTAAAACGGAATAATAATTCAAAACATTTTATCAAATATAACAGTGGGAGGTCTTTTTTTTTTTTAAATGGGTGATAATGGAATGGTAAACCCATCAGTATACACTGGCGGGTCACTAATGAGCGATGATAGGTGAGGATGAAGTAGGTCAGTTAGCCCACCGTGACGAATATAACAATAAATCAATCACAATGGTTTCCAGGGGGAACCACGAGATCGACCTGACAGGGTATATCACTAGCAATGGAGCTACTAATCACATTGGAAGGTCACAGAGTGTGTAGTGTTGGAGCGGTGTAGTGGAGTAGAGTAGCGCAATACCTGCGTGTAGGTGGCGGGCGTGGAGTAGGCGGGCTTGGCGGCGGCAGCGTCGTAGGTGGGTTGCGGCTGGGGCGGCGCGGCGGCTGGGTAGGCGGCGGCGGCCTGCTGGTAGTAGGCGCTCTTGCTGGCGTCGTACGCCGACGCCGCCGCCACCGCCGCATGAGCGTGCGCGTGCGCCGCCGCTGCATAAACATCTGTTATGGTAACATCTCAAACCTCGTCTTGCTACCTATATCTTATTCAAACATATGTCCATTGCTACATGCGCGATGTCTATGCTTAATAGCTTGATGAATTAAATTCCAAGCTGAGATATACTAAAAATTATAATATAAAAATTAGTTTCATACTAATTATTATAAATATGGTAAAGAAAAGATATATTTTATAATCATTGTCAACTCCCTTAAAAAAAAAAAGAATCTTGGCACTTTTTTTTAATATAATATTTAGTAGAATTACAACAGTTAAGCTGTTTATATTAATAATATATAATCTACGTATTATTGTGATTGTATCTAAATTGGAACACTTGACTTTCTATTGTTTCTAACTAGCCCAATAGGGGACAAGTGTGACTTGATATTATTTCCCATCAACTTACTCTATGACTAATTACATTAAAACAAAATGTTAAGTTTATTTACAAAATATGAATAGATAGCAATAGACATATTCAGATCTTGAGATCGTGTGCCACATTGTTTGATAACCTATTCCTGGTCCTGGATAACTTGATTTCAATCAGAGAAACATTTTGTATATCAATGTCAAAGCATTGCTAGGACTTTGAACTAGACTATACTGTGTATATTTGATTTAATCAAATTTTGTAATATTCACACACTATACAGACAGTGCGAACATTGTAGCAGATGCACCATACTACTATTGTTATTATTATTATTTTATACGACTTAGAATGGCAAATAAGCTGACGGCCCACCTGATGGAAAGTGGTAACTGTCGCCTATAGACATGAGCAGTACCATGGTCATAACAGAGCACACTGTTTCACCCATGATACCCCCATGTGTTGTTATTCCTGAGGACTCAGGTGTTATTCCTCTGTACCCTATAAATTAACACCGTATCCCACCCTTCAAATCGAAACACAGCCATGCAAACACAACTGCTTCATGGTAGAAACACAAATGGGACAGAGGTACTCAAGCAATCGACTTTTGTACAAAGTTTCCCTCTGGTTTTATTCCCTTAACGAGTGCTTATGTTTTGCACTGTGGATAACTATAATTGGCTAGCATGTAGTAAATGCAATGTAATATGTATTCAATTTTGTAAAAAGCTATTGTTATCCCAAATAAAATAAATAAATAAATCAATGGAAAAGCTAGTATTATATATTGAAAAAATAAAAAATCAAATGTATATAAAACTATTGCCCGTTTCAGTAGAAGTTAATATAAATACAGTGAACCCTGTATATAAGCAAGCTCTCTGTAAGCAATATTTTTTGTATTTTAATTATTCTACTCAACTTAGTTAGTAAAAGCAATATATAAAAATATTTTCCAGATGGTATTTTTATACTCCTTTTTTCCCTATAAATAACTTTTCCCAATAAGAAACTTTTTTTATTGTAATTGGTTCAAATGAGTTGCTTATATAGAGGGTTTACTGTATAAACAAATAACAGGTTAGAACAAAAGATGTCCATTAACAATAGTACAAATAAAAAATCAATTAGTTGATTGAATGTTTCAATCTGTTTCTCAATATCATTTATAGTGTTTCTGTGATCAGCTCAGTTATTACCTGTCCATTGCTATGTTTCTGTGTCAATTACAACAAAATATTACAAAAAATTACTTAAACCCGGTCTTAAGTATATATCATTAAATAGTATCCTTCCAAGTCCTTACTAATATTACAAATATGAAAGTATTTGTTTATTACTTCCCAATGCCTTAACAAACTTAACAAATGACTATAAAATGGTATAAAATATGAATGGTAAATACTATGAGATGGAAAAGAACAAAAGTTATTTTTTACCTAGTCAGTGAACATATCCCGATCATAGGCCAGAACCCAGACAAAGTCACAGGTATAAATAATTTTACTTCATGATTTATTTGTACATTGAATTCCTATTTCCACAATTAGCCTCTCATTTGGACCATTGTATGTGTCATGATTTATTTAAAATAGAATAGAAATACTCTCTATTTTGTTTAGAAACTCTTTTAAATAGTCAATTTTTACAATTCTATTGTAGTGTTTATAATATAGCGATGTGCTGAAAATAAATGCGCAAGACACTTCACAGCTACTCTTTTCCATATATTTATGTATACAAGATAATCTTACATTTGTTTGAAACTATAAAATCTTATCTCATATAAATAATGATAAATATCAATTTTATTTAATTATCTATTTGTTCCATTAGTCATAGATACAAGTTACTATGTTTTACCCTACTCCAAATATAACGTAATGGCTAAGACCAATTTACCATAATTATGGCAGAACTGATAAACACAAAATAGAATTTTTTTGCACAAATTTGATGTACTGTTTAATTAAATCAACTGAATTATTTCATGACCACTGTAAACAATGAATATCATATACGAGTATAAATATTTTTCATCTAACAAGTAACCTCACTTTTCATCTATCATCATTTTAAATACATTATTAAAATAATAACCAAATAAATATTTTCAAAATGGGATAAATTCAGTATATCCAAATGATAAATTTGATATTATTTCTTATAGCAAGTATACATATATCTCACACAACTTTTGATCATTTGCCAACTAATAGGCATTGGTTAAAATCAACAGGCTAAAGAAATCCAGATACCTACATGAACTATATAAAGCCCTAAATAAATAGTCTTTAATTAATTCAATTGTTATTAAGTGACTGGTTAGCTAATTACACGAGTGATAAAAATTTTCGACAATTTTAGCAAAAATTTATAAACAACAGAATAACTAGGCGCATTTACTGATCATAGCTCTCAACATAAATATTAAATTGTGGTATAGTGAATAAACGGATTGCCGTGTAATTCAATTATGTAAAATCGTGTCGCAGTGCTATCGATTAGAAAACTAAGGAAGGATAACTACGTAAAAACACAAGTAGGTGTATTTTTAGTTTATAAACATCTAGGCCTGTTTGTGATGTAAACAATGCGAGATTTTTACCCATTTATCATCAAAAAACATACCTTGAGTAGCTGCTGCAGCCTGATACGCAGTGTCGTACCCAGTGGCTGCGGCACGCTGTGTACCATAAGTTGCAGCGGTGGCTGCTGGGGCTACAGCGTAACCTGTTTGACCGCCATATGCCGCTCCAGCAGTCGCCGCACTAAAAATACACTCTCATATCAATAATGAAGGTAAAAACAAGTCGAATAGCAAAATAAATTCGATCAATACAGACTAGACGCCATTTTGACTAGATCAGAAACATGAGGACGAGATAGCTCAGCAATCAAATATACTTTAAAACTAATGTACCATATAAATTGATATTTTACTGCAAATAATATGTAAAAAACTTACCCATATTGGGTTCCTCCATGAGTAAACCCAAAATAATTATTTGCTGCCATCATTTACCAATTTTCCGCGTTGAAACAACAGACGCTTCGAGCGGAAAAGACCGGCCTTTGTCTTTGGCAAATATGGCGGTCTCTGTACCATAAACTAGGAACGTATATTTTCTTTACTCGTTTTCAACATGACTGGACAAGATAATTAGACAGCCATATTATTTTTTTTAGTTTGATTTTGTGTGTTGAATTATTTATTAAATTTCTAGTATTAAATTTACGAAAATTATTGTAGTTGTTGATAGTGCCCCTTCAGAATAATTTAGGAACTGAAATTACTACTAAGATCCAATTATCTCTTATGTTGTTATTTCGCAAAGGCGATATTAATTGATAAGAGACGTCTTGATGATCCATTAAATCTTCGGATTAGAAAGCATTTATCCTATGTAATGCCACATTTTGACAGTTTAAGTATGAAGTATTTGTTGTTATTCATAGATTAAGGATAGATCTAGGAAATTTTTAATTCAATTATTTGCGACACTGAAAAAATGGTTTTATTATCATTCCGGAGCCGTTATATTTTTGATAGATTTTTATCATTGAATGCTTATACCTATGTAATATAAGCTTACACCATAGACAGAGAAAAGGTACTTTTAAAGAAAATGATGGTAAATTATAAAATAAAAAATGATTACACAGTTAATTATTTAAATTTAAATTTATATTTTGTTATGTAGTCTTACAAGATAATGTTACACATGATTAAAAGTGTATTTATATATAGACAATGAATACTTCTGTAATTTATCCTAGTAATAATTTAAATATTATCGTCAATATGTTCAGAAGAATCAATGGAACTGAAACAAAAAAAATTATAAAAGAACATTAATTTCCCAAGTTTACAAGCACTGAATAAATTAATTCAGTCACTAGTGTAATGTAGAGTGTAAAGTTCATTTGTATAATTTAATAAAGAAAAATTACATTACGCATTCACTAATTAATTATAAGGGTGTTTGTTATAGCAGGGGTTCCTAAAATTTTAAGATAACGGAACACCCATCAAATATCTCTTACTTTATGGAACCCCATATCAAATAATTCCAAATCAAAATAATTCAAACACTGTAATTTAAATAAAAACAAAAGCTTTTATTAGGAATATTTTAAAAGTATAGTATTTAATAGTTTTGTTTAATATTTCATGTGAAATGAATGAAATTGTTTCACTGTATAAATAATTTCGCTGAACCCTAGTGACTTTTTGCAGAACCCCTAGGTTTCACGGATCTTACTTTAGAAATTGCTGTGTTATAATATTGGACTTCTGACACATATCATTAAATAACTTGTTCAGTTTATAATCAACATTAGGTATATAAATAATATTGTGTTGATGTTGGAATTTAATCATTGAATACCAAACAGCATGATATTATTAAGAAGGTAAATGACTGATTTCAAATAATCATACTTACAAAATATATTTGAATAAAATATGCCCTTTCATATTATATATGTTCATTTATATGTCTGTTTAAAATTCTAAAACTATTAAAAGTTTACCATTACTTACTTCTTGTTACTGTCCTTATAGATCTGACTAAGTTTAATATCTGAAATTTAATAGACGACTGGTCTTCAAAACCCTGATTTGGACGATTTGCTCCCCATCCCACTGAAATTACACAATACAATTTTACACACTGTTATTGTAAAATTAACATTTAACAGTAAAAAATTATATAATTCTTATACCAATTAATATATTAGTATGAGAAGTAAAAACTTTGTATTCCTTTTTACAAAAATTGTGTGGACTGTATGATTGTATTTTTTTACAATTAGGCATAAAAATACATTACATCAATAAAAAAAACTTTCCACACACTACCATGTATTTGACACACACATGCATATATATTCTTTTATTTATTGTTAAAGTCTGTGGTCAAATTGAGAACAGATTAATATTCTTTGTCTATAGTTTATTGAATGGAAAACATAACCAAAATAAATTCATTTATTACAATATATGTTATGGTCGAATTTCTACCACTGGGCGACAGTAGCAGCAGTAGGGTGAAAAGAATCATATACAATGAAGCTAGCACAGTAGACAAGTATCTATGTAAAAAGGTTCATTTTATATGTTTTGTAAATGAAACTGTAATATTTTATAATAATATATAGAAACGGAGCACATATATTATTTCAGTTGCTCCTATTTTTTTATTAAGTCAATTAGTAGTTATCTACATATACAAAATTCACTCACATGCCAATAATACATAGCATACTTTTTAAATAACAAAGAATTTACATATACATACTACCATTATCACCTTCTGGCCACTTAATGTGATAAGTTGGATTGTCTAAGAAAATTAATGAGGTTAAAGGTTTTTTTGGATGATAATGGAATTGCTGTGAATAGATGGTAACCTTGCCTGCACTAATAGTATATGCTGGAGGTCATCAGTAAGGGATAATGGGTTAGAATGAAAAGGCAGATCAATTAACACATCGTGATGAATGCATCTGGAATTTAGCACAGCGGTTTCCAGGGGGATCACGGAGAGATTGAGCTGACAAAGTATACTGCTAGCATTGAAACTGGTAGTCAACATTACTAACAATCCTCCTCCACAGGTTAAAGATTTAATAAACTTACTTTTTTGCATAAATCGTTCTTCGTGTAATACACATACTGCGTTAAGACATAATAATGTCGCTTCAAATAAATTCCACAATGTTAACATAATAACAAACGTTTAAATAAAACTAATAAATATTATTTGCAAATATAAGTAAATATATATTAATTATTATGAAGTTTTGAAGATGAAACTACATGGCATAAACATAAATCTTAAAATGTTGACAGAATTTCAAAAGTCTCAATAAAAAAATCAGCCCCGCGTCGAAATCATCAAAGATAATGTTTGTGTAACTCTATGTAACCAGTTCATTGACTTTGAAAATTTTTGATTATAAAATAGGTATTTGAATCTTTTATTATCGATGCGGTAATTTTTACGATATTTCTGTAAATAACTAGTTGCATAACATAATGAATATTTATTTCTTTATGAAATTGGTAAATACAGATGTTTACATAGACTTATTTTCCAGTGTCATCAATATAAAGACAGTGCTGGCTCTTATATAATTTAAAAAATTTTTAGTTGACGTTGGAACTCTGAACTCGCCACTAGAGTTGATTCTGAGGTGTCATTTCTATAAGAACAAGGAATTACATAGGACTCATAAAATAAAAACTGTAAATCATATGGTTGCCTCCTTTCTTCTTATGCAAATATAATTAGTAAAAAGAGGACGAAAGATACATCATCAGTTGCTATTTTTCTCAATTTATAGCTGGTTAGTGTGTAGTAAATGTTTAATATGTCAATTATTTGTCAATGATGATTTTTAAATTACTAGATTATATATTCAACACAGTTTATGTAGAAAGTATGCAAGCAGGTTGTATCTGAATTTGATAGGGTTATACGGCCGTATAACATTTAGCCTATGAATATGCCACTATGAATTGCCAATTTTATCACTCCTATGTAATTCCTTGTTCCATTTCTCTAAACCTATCTGTAAAATTAAAAATTCAATCGTTATGACATCACAGTAGAATCAGGGTTGTAGCTACAATCGAGGTTCATCATATAAGCGACTTTAAGAGATATGCTTCAATAACAGTTTTTTAACCTCTTTTTAAGAAACTAATAATTTGTAGAAATAAGAAAATATAGGTTTTTTTTACTACATTTTGATTTTGTACAAAAAAATATTTACATGTACTAAAGTAGACATATTTTAGTATTTTATGTCATTTTGCTAAAACCTTGGAAAAAATTGTCCACAGACAACTCTATCATGCACTAAACAAACCCTTTATCATAGATCAACATGGATTTATCAAAGGGCGATCTACAGTAACCAATTTACTTTCACTTCACTGTCACTTAAAAAACATGTAGGTAATTTAATATTTTTTTGGAAACTGAACTCCTAAGAAGCTGAAAATTTGTATAAGATCATCAATTTTTTAAGATGCGTTAACAAAAAACAGTACAAAGGAAATCTTGTGGTGTCTCTTTGTCCATCCGTCTATCTGTCTGTCACAATGTTATATCTCAACAACTGCAAATGTTATCGACTTGTTAAGAGATGAAAACGCGAACTCAACATTTTTAAACAGGCCTACTAGATTAATTATTATTAGGGATCTATCACACATAAAAACGAAAACACAATAAATACATTTGTATATATCGTATTTTACTTACATGTAATAAAGTTTTGTTTTATGACAACAGTAACAGATTTAGGTATTATATTATGTACAGAGCTTTCGACGCACCAATTCAACTTACATTTGAACGATCTTATTTTTAATTAGAATATTGTAATTCTTATAAGAAATTACAATATTCTAGGTATACTAGGTATCATCTATACCAAAGAGTCTCTCTCTCTCTTTGGTATGAAATAAAAAGATGGGAAGCATGTTTCAGTATTTTTATAAAAAATTCAAAAAGGAAGAAGTTTGTAATTCCAATTGATTTAACAGCGTGTACGAGAATTATGAAATATCTGCGACATTATACAGCAATTTTGAAGAAAATCGATCCAGTGTTTCATCATCTGCTCATTATTACAAAAATGTAATTTAAAATCAATACAAATACAATTCTTCTTGTGACTAACACAAGAATGTTAGTGTTATACGGTCAGCAAAATATAGAAAGTAATGCAATTTTCGATTCAATCCTGTTTTTATTTTACCTTTTATATCATTTTATGATATTTTAAATAATTTTAAAAAGAATTTTTTAGAATTTGTTTAATTTATAGTTTATCGGGTTTTTCATTTTAGGGTAGGGTATTAGGCCTTTTAAGGTAGGGCATTGCCCCTCAATACTCCCCCTTACGGCCAAGAGCGAAATTTTTATTCTAACGGCTAGTATGAACTAAATTTCTAATACATTGTACATGAAGCAGTAATTTTATAAAATTAAAATATTAAGTTAGGAGATAAATTTAGAGAAACTGCTCTTCAAAATCGGCTCCCGTAATCGCATTATAGCCATGAAGAGTTGATGTTGCAAAGTTGGCAAATATAATTATAGTATCAGTACCGGTTCTGATCCCTTAATTCTTTAGTCTTGTTTTTAACCTTGTATTTAAATTTGATAAATTTCCGAAATTATTGATTCATGCACCATCATAAACTAATATTATAATAATTTTGATTTAAATATATTAAAATAAATGAATGAATAAAAATAAATAAATAGTCTTTACCAAAAGGTTTCGCTGTGTTATATAATTGAAATTTTAAGTTTAGAGAAATGTCGCCTTAGAATTGACATACAATGCGTTTTTCTAGTATCTGTAATCTGTGGTCTTTTCGTTCTGAGCACAGATTTCGAAATAGATTTGTAATTCCTTGTTCTATGGTTCTGAGTTGTTCACGATTGTTTTTTTTTTTGGACATAGTCTGTCTAATCTGTGGTTTTTTGGTGATGTTTGTATTTTTTTATAGTTATTTATATAATTTTAAACTTTTATTATTAATTTTTTTTATATATTTTTGAAAAATAGTAAGGCGTCTAAATTTAATATTTAAAGAATGGAATTAATAAGGATACAAATCACTCATTCATTAATTTAGAAATGAATTTAACCTCTCGGAACTCGGAATTTCCCAGAATAATAATTTCAATGAGTTGTTTTAAATTTAAAAGTAACTAATACTGAAGAGTTAGAGATGGCTGAAAAGAGTAATTATGAAAGTACAAATCTTCGTCTAATAACAGAGAACAGTGAACAAAATTTTGAAGAGTCAACCGGCAGTAGTTCAGTTTCACAACCTTTTACAATAGTAAATAATTTACCAAATGCAATTCAGTCTGAAGTTGAGATTTTTGCTTCTGAATTTAGTAATCGAGATTTGGTTAGTAAAATATCACAATATGAAACTACGTCTGTTCCACTTACTAGAAATTTTGATGAAAACCAACCCTCCATGAGCAATATTGCTGGAATATCACAATCTGATAACGTATCTCATTTAGACATCCCAGAGCACGAGCCTGTACAATGTAATACAAGATCAAATGCTGAGATAAATACAAATATGGATATAGATTTACATAAAGTTAAAAAAAATAATTTCTACGGTGAAGATTTAGGACCTAAGATTTATCATATAAATGACAGCATGGTCAGCAGAACATTGATACCAAAGAATTTGCCTGCTGCCTTTAGTTATTTACCAATTTATGGTAGATCGAAAAGTAAGGCTGAACTTCCAGAGTTTCAGAATAATAAAATAAGGGAATTTGTTGGATGTGACTTGGGAGATGAAGAGTTTAAGGACATAGCAGATTATTGCAGGTAATTGTATATTAAAGAGCAAGTGATTTAGCTGCTAAAAAAACAATTTGTAGTAATGATATTGATTTGTGATTGATGATATTAAAGATGAAGTCTATAATCTCAATTTTATTAGATTTAAGCTGGGTATAATGTCTTTAACTAAATGATTTGTTATTCACTAAAGTAGTAGTGAGTCACTAAAGCAGTCTGGATTAGATTTCTATTGTTGACTTTTTTTTGATGCGCTTACCTTTTTTTTTAAATGGTAAAAATGGTGCTATAATAAACTTACTGTACTACAAGTATATGCTGACTGACCAGGGTATATTGCTAACAATGGGGCTGTTGGGTCTCATAAACAATCCCTCTCCCCTCTCTAATGTTTTTTTTTTCTTTTTTTTTTAGTTTAGTTATCTAGTGCTATTGACTTCCACAAACTTTCCTCTTTGTGAAACCATTGTGGTTAATTCTGGATAATTTTTTTATGATGCCCAACTGATCAGACTTTATTCTTATTTTTTTCTTCTTTACTGGACACTTGTTTCTATATCATTAGCATCGCCATGTGTATTATTCCACCTTATTATCTATAAAGAATTGACATTTCAAGTGAAATGAAATGAGATAAGATTTTTATTCATAAAAACCTAACTGTAGTTTCTTAAGTTACAGTACTAATTTTAATATTATAAATTTAAATGGATACAGTAGTTGAAATTTGTTTACCTGTGTTAAATGCAGACCACAATCATCTCATCATCATCACAGCCATTATTTGTTCAATGCTGAATATGGGCCTCCTTCACAGACTGCCTTAAATAACAGTTCTGAGTCACCTGTATACGCTGATTTCCTGCAATGCATTTGAGGTTGTCATTCTTGGTGACGGGGCGTCCTATACTGTGTTTGCCCATATGGGTTTGCCACTTGAGAACCTTTTTTCTCAGTTGTTGGTTCTTCAAGCTATGCAACCAGCCCATTACCACTTCAGCTTACCTATCCTATGTAGATGGTCTGCATTGCTTGCTGCAATGCTTTGAAGTAATCACTGTAAATTGAGATAATAGACTATGTCAGTGGTTCCCAAACTTATTTTGTCTACTGCTCACTTTGAAAACTAATTAATTTTTAGCGCCCCCATTTTTTCACCTACTTAAAAACCACTATTACTTCAAATTAAATTAATCAATAATATTGTAAATTAATTATTTATTTTTCTGGGTCCTTTTAGACCTGCAGCGCCCACAAGGGAGCGTTTACACCTTGGGAAAGGCTGGACTATGTGAACAGTATGATACCAATTTGTTTCAGGCCAGATCGTCTTAAAACAGGAAAGGAACTTATGATGATAACAAATCATCCTGGACACGGGCTTAGTGCATCGGAGATAAAGGCTCGCAAAAATGAACCCAGTAACGAGGATGAGCCCAACCTGTGTGTTCTGAAAAAACAAAAGCGCAGATTGGATAGTGATTTTAAGTATTTGTATCTCAAAAAGATGAAGTACCGAGGAATTAAAATGATGCCGCTGATGCAAGAGGTTTGGGTTACTGTTTATTTTTTTCATTAAGCAAATTTGATGATATCAATCTGATCAAATAAGTTTAGTCAGATTTTTCTGACAAATAATACTATGTCTGTTTTATTATTATAGCTTAATTTTTCATACTTGTAAAGTAATTTAAGGGTAAATTTTTCAATATTAAAGATTTTTTTTGCGTTATGGTGTAAAATCCCACATGAGTAAAAGCCTTCTCCATCATACTCCATCCATTTCAATCCGCAGCAACAATTGAATTCTTTTCTGATTTTGTCAACCCATCTTTTTCTTCCAAAGCATCTTTTACCTGTAGGGCCCAGCCATTTTGTTATTTGATGGGTCCATCTTGTATCCTTAACTCTAGCTACATCTCCCTGTATCTCCATTTCTGTTTTAGGCTATACTGGAGAGCATCCCTTGTCCTGGTAGTCTCACAGTTGACTATGTTTCTTGTTCTTTATAGCCCCTATTTAATATATTCAGCAGAACTCATGTTTGTATTTATTTTTTGTTTATTCAATGATCTAATCATTCCTTAATAAAATGGAGATTGGATATAGAACAAAAATTTTAAAATTATTTTTCATTTTTAAAAAGTCAAGTACCATACAAATAACCTTAATTAATCAAACGCTAGGCACACAGTAACTACTACAAAGTTAGGCAATCATAAGATTTAATTGAATCAGGCAGGTGCACTTTCAAATAAAGAAAAAATATATAAAAAAAAAAAAAAAAATATTCTGTGTAATTTGATTTAATAAATATATTTTTTTGATCTTTACATTTTAATATGACTTTTCACATTTTAAGGATGATGAAATGAATATGACAGTAACATTGGGAGAACCATTGCAACCTGGAAAGGATCTGCTGTACCGTATACGAATATATAGACCGTTCGCTTTTAGCCCCAAGGAGAAAATGGTAAGTACAATATTGTTTTATATGTTTTTAAGACCCACTATCGTTGTAGACTGCTGTGTAACTTAGGTTCACTTTACGACTACGTAATTTCACTCGGGTATTTCTAAATACATTTTCTTGGTATTAATTTGGTAATAATATTATTTAATTTGTACTAAGGAAATTAACAACACTGAGATCTCTTTTTATTTTGGTTGACTATTGATTTGGTATTGGAGCATGGTACAGAATAGGATCCTATTTACTGGTTGCTTTCTATGCAAATAGTTGTTATTGCATACCCTTTGTGCAATGCGGCGCTGAGATAGATTATATTATACTAATTCCAATTATTAACTTTTTGCTTTGTAGAATAGGGCATAGAAGAGGTCACTCCTATCTTTCCTGTGGGTGTCGTAAGATGCGATTAAAGGAGGGCGAGGGATGGACAGCAGCGTCCTTTTTAGAACATCTTCAAAGCCAAATTGCTGTTGCCAATCCGCTTACCAAGCGCGACGACTACTAGCAAAACCTCCTAAGAGGGAGGCTTATGTTCAGCAGTGGACAGTTAAAGGCTGTTATGATATAATGAATTTCAATTATATTCCAGTGCGGCCGCCGGCAGCTCTTGCTCAGCTGTGACGTAGTGCTGCTGGGCCGGCAGAAGCTTGCGGCTCTCCGAGACCGCATGGTGTGCCCTAACGACATTGATATGCGCGTCGATGTCTCAGAACGACCGGACAATTTACCGCCGTCTTCTGCTAAGGTAACATTATTTTTTACGACTATTGTATCACAGTAGCATCACTACTGCACAGTCTGTGGTTTGGATTAGATTCTTGGTCAGGGCACATTTAGTACCTTTGTGTAAGTTTGTGTTCTAAATGATGCATATACTTTAATAATAATAATAACTTTATTTTCATAAACAAAATTAGCCTGTAGTACAATATAACTAACATACTAATATACTCATATCATATTTGTTGTTTGGTCTCCCACTCTTGGTACTAATTTTTTTAATGGGTATATGTGTAATGGAATGGTAGCCCTGCCTGCGTCTATAGAGTGTAGAAGGTGTCCATAGACTACAGTGATTGTTTACGTGTATGCTTGTTTGCCACCTTTGTGATATAAAAAAAAACATGCTGGAGAGGTACCAGTGAGTTTCGGTACAGAAGTAAATTCTAGTGGAGACCGCGTGGCGATTGAAATGATAGAGTATATAGCTAGCAATGCGGTCATTAGATCCCATTATTAACAATTATTTTCCCCATCAATTATCTCTAATTATCCATAAAATCTGGCATGTGCATTTTTTTCTGCGTCGTTATCATGTCACATGAATACTGCTATTATTATTATTTTAAATACGCAGGAGCTGTTCCCATCGGGGTTCCTGTTCATAAACAACGTTTTCTACGTGGACACACGCGAGGGCTGTCGTGACATTAGTTTGCCGGTGCGACAGTGGGCGTCACGGCGCGGCATCGGTCTATTTCCGCGTCGGGACTTGAACGTCAGGCTCGACGAGCTGCCCATCCGCCTTGGACACCCAGAGGTGAGACATACTGCTGTGCCATGACCTAGTCGTCAAAGGGGGAGGGGATTGCCAATAATGCGGACTACCAGTCTCATTACTAGCAATATGCCCAACCAGGTCCACCTCCACGTGGTTACTCTTGGAAACCATTGTGCTGAATTCCAAGTGTATTTATCACGATGGACTTACTGACCAGCCTTTTCATACTCACCTATCATTCTTCACTGGTCCCCCGTCAGCGTATACTGTAGCACAGGTGGGGTTACCATTCTATTATCATGCGTTAAGACCTAGTCGTCAGGTTACGTTTCAACAATAATTGTACCGTCAAAGAAACCCGTTTTTCTTACAGTTAAAATATCATGTGCATTTATGGAAATTTAACTATGTAATCTATATTCCAGGTATATGTCCACCAAGGTAACTGCGAACACCTGTTTACGTTCTCCGAGATCCGGTTACTAAACGCATCGGACCCACTCAAGCTGTCCCAGTACCCTTGCCACACAGAAATATCACAAAACCAAACGGTGTACTGCACAACTTGCGCCGAATTCGGCGCCAAATGGGTGGTCGTCGGCTGCGACAGAGTGCCATTCGACCCGGCCTTCTTCTGTGATAAATGTTTCAAAATGTATCTGTATAAAGATGGAAAGAAAATTGGACAATTCAAAGCTTACTCGTACAAGGGAAATGAGCTCAATGTATTGAAGCCACAAAGTTGATAATGCGTTGTACAGACACTGGTTGGTAAAGATTAGTGTTCTGCGATTTATAGTTAAAAAGAGCTGTCTTATTACGGTGCTGGAATAACTATGAACCAGAGATGGGAGTGTCGTATTTGTACTTTTTTTTTCACAATACTCAGAAGTACAAGACATAGTCATTTACAAAGTATATTTCTGCATAGATGCTCTGTGCTGTAAATGAATATCAGAGCAGAACTGTTGTCAGTCTGAAAGTATACTGTATTTATTATTGTCGAAAGATGGACTTTTTCAGACAGAAAACCTGTGACTCTGCGACCTTTTCATGATTTTTGAACAGTATACAGTATACTACTATCAATTTTATTTTAAACAAATATGGAAATTATTTTTTTTATATCAAATACTAGGATTAAGATAGTCTATCCTTTTTATTTATACTGAATACTTGTTGTTGGAGGCATAATGCTGTTGTTTATGGAACGAAGGCTATGATAAATGTAACCCAAGAGACAAAAGTACAGCCACTTGATACAGATATAACCAACGATTTGGAAAATCTTCGAGCAAACTGCTTTCCTAGTTGGATGGTTAGTGCCAAATATATATTTTAATATTAAAGTACAGTGAGATTTTAGTACTTGTTTTATTTGATGTTGACATAAATGTGTCTTAGAATGTGATTGTGTTAGAGTAGGACAGGATGGAAGAAATATTTTTTATTTGAATAGTCTTGTTTATGATGTAGTTTGATTAAAGTTCTAGGTTCGATTCTAAAATGAGAGTAACTATTCGATTCGCTGTCCAATTAAGTATTGTTCTATCCAAATTCAAAATTGTTCTTGTCCTAATAAGTATTTAAAAAAATATCTCTGTCGTTTTTAAGTTATACTCGTATACCTACCAACAAACAATTATATTTCCATATTTATTATTAATAAGTCTAAAGTCATGCGGCATAGTAAAGAGCAGTTTTTAACCGACTTAAAAGAATAGGTGGTTTTCAATTTGCTTGTGTTTTTAAGTTTGTTATCTTATAACTTAGTCAGATCTATCTTATATGCAGATTCGTCTAATAGAAATTTTATCAAAATCAGTTCAGTTGTTTAGTTTTTAAATCAAAATGCCTGGTTTTGTCAGAATGAAATTCGAGGTTTTTGTGGACTACAATCTTTAATCGTAGAATGAGCAATAAGTGCTGCATTGTCGTATGATATGCGACTTGAACTACCGACTACCCTTTTGGATACAAAATAAAAAAAAAAAAAATCTTTTGCGGCTACCACCACAGATTGTATATCTGTGACAGATGAAATCGTATAATAAGACTTCTTTACTCACTACAAAGTAACTATAAGGTATTGTCTGTGTGTATATTTATGAATAATGTGGAGTGAGTTCCCTAACGAAGCTTACCCTATAGAATACAGTCTTTAAAAAGAAGGTATTATGGTTTTTTATATGTCGAGAACGTGCACCTGACACCTCTGATGGTGCAGGCGTCTACAGGTTACCAGAAACAGTACATTGACCTGTACAGTCGTTGACACATTTGTGAAATAAATAAAAAAAACTATTATTTGCATATGTACAGTAATATATGAAAATATATATAATAGTTATTTTTTTCATTGGTAGATATCCATAGCGAGATACAGACCTTATAAACAATAATACAGATACCAATTGTTGTTTTTTCACTAACACAACACTAGCTTTTACCCGCGACTTCATCCGCGTGGCCAGGATATATTTACTGGTCGGAATTAATAGTAGCTTATATCCCTCTTCGTCCCACATATTTCGTGTATACCAAATTTCATAAATTGGTTAAGCCGTCAAGGCGCTAAAAGGAAATAAATTAATTTTTACATTTATAATATTAAATTATAAATTATTTTAATATTTGTACAATGTTGTATTCTCTGTCTTCCAGCATCCCACTTCTGGTCTTCGCAGAGTCGCGTAAGTGTATCCTAATTATAATATTAACTTATTTAGTTTAGTTTGGGCTACTTGGGGACTAAGATGTTTCGTCTTAGTACTGTAGTGTGTGGGCATCGAATAGAAACACCATAAATTTCACATCATACGTTTACTATCGAAATGGAATTACATTTTGAATTCCCGGCGTAAGCGCGCGAGTCGGTGCGTCATATAGAGACGCCCCAAAAGCCGGTCCGTAACTGCCAGCGGCGTCGGCGCCGCTAAGCTAACGGTAGACGGTGGGGGGGAAAAGGATTGTTAGCATGGAGTTTGACAGCCCCATTGCTAGCAATATACCCAACCAGGTCGACCTCCTCGCGGTTCCCCCTGGAAACTATCATGGTTAATTCCTGATGAATTCATCATGATGGGCTAACTGGCCTGTTTTCATTCTCATCTATCACCCTTCACTGGTGCTCCGCCAGCGTATCCCGATAGCGCATGGCGGGGTTACCATTCCATTATCACCCATTAAAAAAAAAAAAACGGTAGGGCACGGGAGGGCGACGCGCGCGGGGAGGACGATCGGAAAGGGGAATTACTCGCGGTCGTTGCGCGGTGGCGTTTTTAGGGGTCCGCGTTACAGTACCTTGTACTGTAACGCGGTATCTCTCACTTTACTGGGTTGACTGGAAGAGATCTCTGTCAGAGATAAGTCCACCCTTGCTCACAACATTCATAAATAGATTATTTTATACGTAACTTACAAGTGCAATAAAGAATATACCTTGTTTATCCATTGTTGAACATAAGTCTCTCCTATAAACTGTCGAATTTGCAAATCCTAGGGGAATTTGCCAATTCGATAGTGCAAATTGAAGAAACGGGCAGTGGCGTAACTATATCATTTGGGGCCTGTGGCAAATTCTTTTGATGGGGTCCTATTAATAAAAAAAAACTTTTCACGTAAAATAAAATACTCAGGTTGGGGGCTCGTGGCATTTTGCGAGCCCTGCCACCCTATTGTTACGCCACTGGGAACGGGGCCGTTCCAATCGCAGTTTACACGGGGGGGGGGGGGGGAGGGAGTTTGACAACCGCAGTTTGGCTTATGGTTTTAATTTTTTATTATTGGTTATTTAAAGGAAGTCAATCTAACAGTAAATCTAAAAGCCGAAACCTTGAGTAGTATGAATAAAATGTTCTAGCATTTAATGGTTTTTTTTTTATGGGTGTAAATGGTATGGTTACCCCGCCTGCGCTAACGGGATACGCTGGCGGAGCACCAGTGAAGGGTGATAGATGAGAATGAAAACAGGCCAGTTAGCCCATCATGATGAATTCGTCAGGAATTAACCATGATAGTTTCCAGAGGGAATCGCGAGGAGGTCGACCTGGTTGTGTTATTGCTAGTAATGGGATTCTCAGTCTCCAGTACTAACAATACTTTTCCTCCCCAAAAATTATGTATTTGAAAAAAGTAATAAATGTTTTTAAAACAACGAATAAGAAATAAAAATTAAAACAAAAAGTTAGACTCTGTCAAGCACAAGTTTAAGATTGTGTTTGATAAAAAAAAAAAAAAACTATTTCATTAGTGGCAAAATAATTTATTTTGATTTTAAGAATATTTTTTTAGGTAAGAAAAACAATCTTCTTAGAATGTTTATGACTGACGGTGTTATGAGGGTAATAAACATAAAAAAATAACTAAATTGAAAAAGCTCCTTTTTTGAAGTCGGTTAAAATAGATGAATTAAGTAGATAAGCGCTTACCTATTTAGCGCTTGCCCTCGCGTGCTGCGCATGATTGATAATTTATCTGCCAGCATGCTGATTGCCAATCAAGATAGTATGCACGGCATACTCCAACGCATCTCCCAGATACAATATGGTCATAAAAAATACTTTACTTCCCACTCCAGCCACTGGTTATTTTGTGTCTCCTATGGACAGGTACCATCGGCTTACCAATCTTTTTATGTAACTTGAAATACCAAATAAGCTGATGCAAAGTGGTAAAATGGATGCATAAATAGCGAGGGGGGGGGGAGGGTTTGTTAGTAATGCGGACTATCAGTCCCATTGCTAGCAATATACCCTATCAGGTTGACCTCCACGTGGTCCCCCCTGGAAACTATCGTGTTGAATTCCATGTGTTTTCATCACGATGGGCTAATTGACCTGCCCTTTTATTCTCACCTATCACCGCGTATACCGTTAGCTCAAGCGGTGTTACCATTCCACTATCATCCATTGAAAAAAAGACCATAAAATCATCAGCGCTGAACGCACATCGGTCCAGCAAAAGTTGAGTTTGTACCTATTGCTATTATATACGGGTATTGCACAACGTATTTATTTATTTATTTATATTATATTTAATTATAATCTCATTATAATCTCTGTACCATATTTGTAAAGAATGGCAATAAATTTATTATTATTTTATAATTTTTACACAAATTCTCATCTCCTCTCTTAAAGAGAGGAGATGGCAACTAACCCCCGGCAGAAGCACAGTCGGCCGGGGTTCAGGGCCCCAGGGAGAGAAACCGGCGTACAATGCGGGCAGTATCTAAGAACACTGCTTTCTGCATCTTTCCCGGGAGTGAGCCGCCTCGGAATGCCAACCGTCTGAGATGTTGTTCCAGACTGGTTGGGATAAGACCGTTCACCGACAAAACGATTGGCATGATTTCAATGGACGCCACCCCCCATATTTCGGTCACCTCGTGATTATTATTTTTATTAAAATAGCACCATGGACTGGACTTCACAAAATGTTTTATTACGCCCATATACCCCACATGCGTTGTCATTCCTGAGAGTTAGTAGTGATCCGTTTGAGGGATAAAGTTGCCAGTACAATTTATAACGTAATTAATTAAAGATTGTGTCCCAAAAAAAAAAAAACCATTTTAGTTATGGCAAATCCAGTTATTTTGTTTTAAAAACTACTGGACTGTTTTTGATAATACTATGGGAACAGAAAAGTATATTTTTTTAAATCGGTTTTGAACTGTCTTGCGCCACCTACCCAAGGTACTAATAGTGATGCCTTCTATCTGTTCTCCTTTAACGAAAGGTTGTCTGCAATGGATTGTATATGCCATTATTTATTTTTAACAATAAAGAGTTAAATAAATAAATAGTTGTTGGAGTTATGAGGCCACGTAAAAAGAATACAACCGATACCTTCTTTTTGAAGTTGGCTGAAAAGACGTATTTAACACCTTACTTCTATGAGAGAATTGGATTGTCAGTGACGAAGCCTGTTTCTGTTCAATATAAGGTCAAAATTTAGTCACAACCGGACCAATACGAGGTCCACCTCTGCGAGTCCTCTAGAAAACATCGTAATTAATTTTTTTTATACCATTGAGGTGGTAAACAAGCATACGGCCCACCTGATGGTAAGCGGTTACCGCAGCCTGAACTGAACGCCTGCAATACCAGAGGTATTATGCGCGGGTTGCCGATCTAGAAAAAATCTTTTTAACCCCCTTTTGTAGAATCCCATGCTGTAGTCTCTTGGAAAAACCTCAGCAGGGAGATCATTCTATAACCTCAGTGTTTGTGATCATATCTGAAACATTGTAGTACGCAATCACCTAGGCTCTAGGGTATGAGGGTGAACTCCCTGTCGATGGCGAGCCGTACGATGGTTGAAAGTAATTCATTAGTTAATGAATTCGTCACTTATTATGA